CTAATATGATCTACCTGATATTAAATTAGCAAAGCATCTTCATATTCTCGCAGCCCGTCGATTATTCTAGCATTATTCATCAAACATGCCAGTCAAACGATCACCACTTACTGCAAGTATCTACCATGGAGGGTAAGTATGTACTCATAAGTTTTGATGCACGATTGTTTCCAAAGGAACACTTCCATTTTATGATGCTAAATATTGAGTTGTGGTTCAAAGTTATTGTCGGAATAATAATTGTTCAAAAAATGTCTTGGAAGGTATGTATTTTATGATTCTTATCCAAATTATGATTGACAGTACATAAAGTATGGATGTATGGATAATGTATGAAAAATTGTATCAACATATTCGGTAAAAATTCAACATTGTAATGGAATCAGCAGAGCCAGAAGACAATTTGGAAATGATATGCAAATGAATGGAGAGAGGTTACGCGTCGGTTCGGACCGCGTTTTCACATCGTCAGTTATGTAAAATGTGTAAATTCCGTAAATATTCTCACATACTGCACGGATTCAACCGCCTCGACTTTTATGAATATTCATACGAAGCAAATATTAACGTGGCAAATTTTATATAAACCATCGGCCTTTGTTCCCTCGACTCTGCTGTTACACAGCGCTAAAGCGGCTTCCAAAAAAACGCTGGAAAAATTCGCCGGTTCTTTTAAAAGGCTCATGAAATGCGGGATGTGAAATTAACAAATTATTAGAATAGAAAGGCAGAGTTTGAATTAAAATCTAGCTTAGTTCTACGAATATTTTTAATGTAACTACAATTTAGCTATGGACTCAACCATACCTACAGGAAGTCCAGATTTTTTAAAATGAAATTCAATCCTTCTAGATGCTGTTCAGCATCGAATTGTAAACACACTATTACGCGTGGAAAACAAAATTACCTATTAATTTTTTATTTATAAAATCCTCTTGTACAATTAGATACATTTTATCGATTGGAGTATTGGAACCTAGCAAACCGAACAAATCCCATTAAAACGTTTAAAAACCACGCGAAAGTGTTTATTAGTTCGGTGTAAATAAGCGAACAATTCACAAAAAGGTTTTATTCGGAGCGCTGTGGAATTTGGAAAATAACGGGATCGTTTAGGATGCACTGTATAGGAGAGAGAATTGATTTTATTTAATTGATATTTGATAAAACGATACAAAATTTGCTGCATTTACAAAAACTAATTTGGCGTAGATGAGTTATAGTGTATCGATAAATAGGATTGCACAATTCCATTAAACTGATATGTTTCATTGGGTTTTTTTTCAAAGCGGTCATAACGGGAAATTGAATAAACTATGAAATGTACTGGCGCATTTAAATGTGGAAGGATTAAAGGAAAAAAAATTAGAAATTCCATTTCCGCCTACAAAACGTTTTCCGCTTGAATTATTTCGTCATATGTTGCTGGGGTTAGAGTTTTCCACGCAAACGTCGGCATTGATCACGACTGTTTTTGTTCTTGAAAAGTGCTCGTTTCCTGATGGATGCCTCATCAACAAAACACTTATTCACTCTTCACTTTTCTTCCCACTCAACCATTATCCCATTGATAAATAATAGCATAAAAGTGCATATAACAAAGGATCTATTCCTTTTGCAAAGCAGTCTGAAATTTTTAAATTACTTTGAGCAAATTTCTTGTGAAAAAAAGTTAAAGCAGTTCTTAAAAAAAATAAATCAACTAATGACTTATAAAGAGGAAAAACCCGATTAAGCGGAACGACAAATTCATGAAACTTGCCTTTCAAAAATGTAATTTTCGAATACCCTCTAAAAGGATATCGAACGAAAATAAAACAAAAAAATCTAGATGCAGTTTTTCAGAAAAAACTCCAATAAACAGGCATCCTTTTCCCGCATTCACGAATGGCTAGACCTCTATAAAACATGCAAATATAGCCTGAGCTCGTTCTGATTTCAATATAGTCGTTACATCAACCCCTTTGGGGGCGATTTTTCCATCCCCCAACCCTTAACTGACGAGTACAATAAGGATTTGTCAATTGTGCTCCACCAGCGAGCTCTCTATTTGCCTCTGCACGATGCTCCAACGCTTGCCGCTGCTGTTATCCATTACCGCGTATCTAGGAAATGAAAAATGTATGTTTGCCATTAAAGTCTCATTTCAAAGTATTAATAGGATCGGTTCGTTTCAGGGCGCTTTTTATTCGGCTCGGGCTTCAACTTCGGACTGAAAATAATAGCGAGTCCATCCAGCTTTGAGTTCCGGATTTTATTTTCCGGAAAGCGTGGTTAATGGTTTATTATTTTTTATATTTCAGGTGGATGAAAAATTGATAGATGCAGAAATATGTCGGGTAAAATTTTAATAAAAAACGATTAATTTTCTTTTGTGATTCTCTACAGAAGCAATGATTGTTTGCGTAAATATTTTCTGGAAAGTTTCAGAATTTATAGCGGCCTTTATAAATCAACCGCGCCTTCTAAAACGGAACTAAAATATCATTATAACAATGTCAACTTCAACAAAGAAGGGGACGATTTTATGAATGGGTAAGTGCAATTTTGTTTGCAATATGGCCAATTCTATACGAGTTGAACAAAGAAATATTATTAAAATAACAGTTGTTAGAGTGAGAAAGTTGTGATTCCACAATATCACTCTTCCTTTTACCTTTATAGAGACTAATGGAAGTTGTCTTTGTTGCACCTGTAGCATATTGCACACAATTTTGCATCTACTTGTATAAGTATTACAGCTTACTATTTCAGATTTAGCTTGTTGCACCGCATTGAAAAGGAAAGTTGAAAATTCATTTTTATATTATATCTTTTTATCTTTTTATGTCACTGTCAATTTTGACATTCAAGGCTAATTATGTCATTTTAGTAATATTGAAAAATATTTCTTTCTTATATAACTTAAAATGGAACTAAAATGTCATTGTAACAATGTCGGCATAAACAAATAACGGCACCGATTTTATAAGTATTGCTTACCATTTTATTGTTATTATTAAATTATAAATTTAGCTTACAGTACCATTAAAAAGGAAAATTCAAAATTCAGTTCTTACCTGACCCATTCAATTTTCCCCATACGCAACTCATTTTCATTTAATTCGCCCATTTTGCATTAACATTTTTATCTTATCTGTCACTGTCAATTTTGATATCCAAAGGTAACTATTTTTTTTCGGCCGCTGACCGATAATCGAAAAAGCCATTTATCATTGACATATGTCGAATGTGCAACATATTCTATCGAGGAAATGTCAAAATTATCTCATTTTAATATTTTTGAAAAATATTTCTTCCGTATAAAAATGCGACAAAAATATAAAAGCTCCTCTTTCAATATCCATTCCATCGCCGAGCAGCGAGAGAAACATAAAAAAATTAAGTATACTAGATTTCGCGATAATCATCTTCCTCCCTTTGTGAAAGGTGAATATGTAATATGGTAAAGCGTTCTCGCAGATAAAAATTTCTTCGAATATTCAAAATGAAAGGAAATCGAGAAAATAAGGTTTGCGCTGAAAGACGGAAAATTTTTATTAGATTGAATTCAAAATGTGCGATGGATTCTGGAAGTATCCCTCATCACAAATAAGTACCTACGTAAGTATGTTTAAGTACCTAATATTCATTAGCTATGCTTATGTGCAATTTACATTATTAAACTACCAATTATCCTAATTATCATTTCTCTATCTGTATAATTATATTAGTAAATGTCATTCAAATGTTACAATTGATCAGATTATACTGTTAAAATAGGGCTTTTGGTGATAATTAGTAAAAATCCTAGTAACTAGTATTACAGATATTCCAAAAGATATTGAGCTGAAAATTGGAATTGAGACAATTTTTTACATATGAAGGTACATAAAACATTAACGAAACTCGCTTATACAGATTGTCTCAAAAAGTTTTAACAAAATAAGTATGTTTAACTGATGTAACAATTATTACTTTGAGGGTTCATCTTTTGAGATTCATCTTTGGGGATTTAAAATTCCACCCTTTCTTTTTCCTAAACTAGATTAACAGGTTGGTAGTCGCACATTTTGTTAATAAAATAATCTTTTTTCGTCCTGTACCTATCCTCAAAAAACCGCATTTAAAGAATTAATATAGATACCACACATTGCAAAATACCTACGGAGTAGTCCTTTAATTTTTTTCTGTATTTTATTTAACACACCTTGTATATTAAACCGGTTTATGTTTGTTCTGTGGTTCTGTGTTCATCTTATACGGTTGCTGCCATCTATCCACAAAGGCCCATCATCCGTGATATCCGAAGAAGAACCCAGTTCTCGTTTTCAGTTTCAGGCACAGTCACAGTATCCTTTCAGGTTTGGTTTCAGGAAAATCAATACACGCGGGATTATGAATTGATTCAAAATTTCTAATGAATACAATTAGAATAAAGTGCTACAAGCAGTATATTCTTGCACACTTCGATCAAATATTAGGACTATTTTTATATTAAATGCGAATTCTTAAAGTAAACTTGCTAAAGATACTTTAGCGTTGTATTTGCAGTATATACAATTTTTCATAAAATAATATTCTGGATTTTTCCGTACCGTTTTTGAGATTCTACTTTGCCCTTCGTTTATTAAAAACGCAACTTTTGTGTATCTTTTCCTTTTTAATCATAAAGCTTTCCAAAACGCTGCTCGAGGCAATACAACGAGAGCTTCCAACTCAAATTAATTCCCAAAATACCTATATAAAAACAACTCTTTGTAGAAAACTACGAACTAGAGCTCGTCAGTAGCAAATCGCTTTGTAAAAAACCAATTAAAATTAAATTTCATATTTTCCCATCGAGCGCGGAGCGACCGAATCCGCGAGAACGATTTATTTTCGAGCGTTCTGCGCCGGTATTCGAGAATTTCTCGTTTGTATGCCGAGCGAGCGAGGCAAGAAGGGCATTGAAAATACAAATTACAACCCTGTCAGTGGGGGAGAGGCAGTCTGGCGGCGCAAGCCAGTTGGTTCCCGGTCAATAATGTACTTGCAGTCGTTCTCCGACTGAGCAGTGTCCAAAATACGGGCTAGTATAATGCATCGTATAGTGGCGACGTAGATTATTCAGAAAGATATCCATGTGATTAAAAATTTAACGAGTAGATTCTTCCATGTGTTTGGGACTAGAAACGAGGATGCTCCGCAAAGTCCGTCGAATCGGATCGTCCTCTGGCATTTTTCATTGAATAAAAAAAATGTGAAACACCTCGAAAAAATTTAATTAAATATGATGACAAATAGAGAATCTTATTACTGTTCTGCTTGGATAATTTTATTTACAGCTGGTGAGTAAAAATAGAGTGGTTTTCTTGTTAATCTTTGATCTTTTGCTTACATTCCTTTTAAATTATTAAATTGGCAGTCCAGTAAATGATTCGTAGATTATATACCCGGTGTTTCACTTATAAAATCCCATTTATACTCTCATCTCTTGTCACGCAAGATGTAATGTGCATGCATGCATGCTATGAATTGTTCACCACTCGTTTATTTATTAATACAAAATTTTCATAATAATAAAAATGTATCTCATGTATCTATACGCTAATGATTGCAATTAATAACAGCGTTAACTTTAACAAGTTTGCTGTAAATATTTGAAATTTGCAAATATAGGTACACCGCACCCTAATGATCTTTGACCCAATTTCAATGGACCGATTTCGGCGTTTGTATCCAAGGAGTTGGATAATTTAATCTGAAGTTCATATATTGTGAACGTGTTTATGTAATTCGCGCTTCAATAATAAACATAGATACTAATCAATTTTTAATGAAATTGTTTATCGTTCTAAAGCTAAAACAAACATAAACCCAAAAACAGACTTCTTTTAGTTACCAGCTATAATAAAGAACGTTTATTACGTTTTAAACGCATTCGAGCACTTACTCTAATGGGATAAGCATTAAACATTAAACCGTAAAATACTTTGGCCTATTAAAAAAATTCTATTATATTTTAGCGTGCGGATTTTTATTTTATGAACTAATTATTCGTACACCCGTGCATGCGATTTTTCCATGGAAAAAATTCTCCCTGGAAAATTCGAAGTAGAACACAACCTATTTGATCTAATAGTTTCACAAACAATACGTAATGTTAATAGGAATGTGCAAAGGAATGCAAATGTGTCTATAAAAAGGACTCCAATTGCAATTGCATGTCAAGAGTTCATCTCTATTACTTAACTGGTGTAATAATATTAATTTAAATATTAATTTTTATTGCCTAAATATAATGCTTTTCTTTATATTTATGTGCATCTAGGATAAAAATGTATGTGGAATTTTTTGAAATTAATATCTACTAAACGAATTAACCCGCACCCATTAAAAACACTTATTGTGAGATGTAGGTAAGATGAAACTCATACCACTACTGAAACTAAATACCCTTCTTCCTATATCCTGATGTATGCTATTGAGTGTCGCATTCTCTCATTCATATGCCCTTTAACTACTTGCAATGAAATGAAAAATTCAATAATTCTTCACTGGAATTCATTTTGAAATTTCGATCGATATTTTAGTGGAAATATTAAATTCAAAATCGGACAAATTCTTGTCAGAAAGCTCCCTTTGAAGCTGCTGTGACTAGATGACTATTAACTTGGCAGAATAGGGGCCCGCACCCTCTTCACTTAAACATCCCTCATTCTGATTTTCGTGTACTTTTCCGGACGTCGTTTATCTTGTTCGAAAGGGCCATTTTATTTCTACAAACGACCGACTTCTATCTCGATATTTTTCTCACTCTACTATAATATTTATAAGTTTTTTTATATATACACTACGAATTTTATTCCATATGGCGGAATAATATTGTAAACAGATCTTTTACTAGTATAATAAATTGATTTAAAGTCATGTACCATTACCATATAGTATGAAAGAAATGATGCGTAGGTTTCGAAAGGAAAAAGAACTCGCTTTCGGAATATATAAAACCGACTCGGTATTTCTTTTGTTCCCATCCATATGAAGCGCATTGAGTATATTTGGATGTAATAAATAACAAAAAAACCTAAGTTCGAACATTACAAACACTAAAATATTATTAAAGATGTAAGGTGAATATTAAAAGATATGTTTACAATACGCCATTATGCCCTTTCGATGTAATGATATAAACAAACCGAATAAATAAGCACAATGAACCCGAGTTAAAGGAATTCTTTGTGAAGTGAAGTCCGCCTGGTCATCTATCCAAAGACCAAAATCAAATTTCTTCAACAATGTATCTATTCAAGAACCTTTCGTTTAGTTCCCTTGGGATTCACCTAGTTAATTAATTGGACCTTACAATATTTCCAACATAGTACTCAATTAGGTATTCAATGCAAGACCCTTACCAACTATTGTGCCTGTAATTTATCTACTGTGCGCCTTTTCTCGAGGTATTTTAACCGAACTTTAAAAACCCAATATATCACCTGATAAGCCCATTAATAGCGCGGGCTTAACAGCGAACCCGAAGTTTCCCCTTGTAGAAGTTCCTACGAAGAATATAAACACGAGTTTAAAGGCGAAATTTTCCACCATCAGGCATCCACGAATAACTTATGCTTATATAACTTATGCTCGTGTAATCTTGCAGGTTTCACATTATGCGTCAACGTACACTTCGAAAACAAAGACGGCGGATTCTTCATAAAGCAACAGATCCGCCAGAACATCATCCTGACATCCTCGAATGCAGAAACATCGACACCATCGAATCTAAACAGCGGATTTCCTATATCGGTAGATAAGTTCACAGTGTTCCAACGTTCCCAGCCGATTTCAGTGAGGGCGACGTATGGGCCCTTTAGTACAAAACAAACGGTTCCGGCTAAATATATCGTACCTGATCCACTACCTGTTAACAATTCAGGTAATGTTTAGAGTATTATTTACTGGGTAGGTGCTTGTTTGTTATTCCAATGGCGAAAATAAATTTTAATGGGTACAATTTCTAATCAGAGCCGTGTGTACCACATGTTTGTGTCTAATGAATTCGATGACGATAATAACTCGGTAGGATACTTGTTTATTGATAGTCAACGATAAATTGGCTAACAATGTTGGTATTAAGTAACAAATTGTACTATGAACAATAAAATTGTTATATTGTGGTAAATGGTAAAAAATCGATTAGCTTCCAAAAAAATTACTGCACATATCACACAGTCATTATTATTATGCTTAATGACAAGTTTCAACTAATTATAATGTTTTATATGAGGATTATTAGGCACAGTTTATTATTTTAAATCGTCAAATATTTGCTCAACTTGAACATATTTACGAAAACCAAAGATATAACAACGTAATTAAGTATAATATTAGCTAAAGGAAGTACCTACGCTAGAAAAAGTAGGTTCTATAAACAAAAATTAGCGAAATAATAAAATTGTAGATGAAGGAATTTGTGATTGTGTAGACGAAGGAATGAGCTGTGTTTTTAATAAATAATAAATTAATTTTCGTTGATACTTCAGAATAAAGGGAGTTTTTTGAAAAAGATTAGTTCAGATATTGACCTATTTTCTTAGACATTATAGTAGAGAGTTTCTATAATTTTACTAAGGAATAAAGTAATAGAAGTAAAGTAAATGGAAGTAAAGTAATTTTCGTTAATACTTCAGATTAACAGGGATTCGGGATAAATGATAATTACTATATTTTTTTCTGAAAAAAGATTGTTTTTTGAAAAAGAGTTGATGTTGACTAATTTTATTAGATGTTTTAGTAGTGCTGCATTTTTTAATAAATATAAAATTAATAATCGTTGATGCTTAAAATAAATAGTCTATTACTATAAATGGCAATTACTCTAATAAATTTTTCTGAAAAAAAAGTATTTTTGAAAAAGAGTAGTTCAAATGTTGACCTATATATTTTCGTAGACGTTTCGGTAGAGAGTTTCTATGTAGTATTTATTAAATTTCAAATATTCGTTGATATTTCAAAGTAACAGTATACTCACCATAAATAACAATTACTATACACACATATAAAATTTTTCTGGCATCCAGTACCTCAACTATATAAAACAAGTTTCTTTCTGAATTCATATAGGGTCAACAATCGATTTCCAAGATCAAATAACCCATCACCTCGACATGTCGGCGCACATCGTCCGCAACGAAATACCGAGAGACTCGCCGGTGCTAAGAGTGCTCTTCCACACGGGCACGGACCCCGGAGGAAGGCGACAGGTCCTCCTGGCGAGGCACCACCAGAAAATTTGCATCGTCCTGCAGGTCAGCATGGGCAATCACACGCCGCTGCACGCCGCTTGCAGCCCCGACGGCGAAGACGGAGTCTGCTTGGCTCAAGTAAGGCTGCTCTCCAAAAACCCTCGGGTTGGTACACAGTGAAATTTTTTTCGAAGGTGACGATTCCCTCGTTCTGGTGGAGCCCTTTGCCGTCGCTGGACAAGCACGGAAAGCCCGGCAAGGTGGTGAAAACGCCGCCTAAACTGGTGCAAGTCGCCTACTCGGTGTTGGAGCCTTGGCCCGACGAGGGCGAAGGTTGCCAACCCAAAGTCCAAGTGCAGCCTTCGATGACACTAGGACACATTCCTCTGACTGCCGCTAAAGGAGCTTACAAAGAACTCAAACTGACTGATTCCATTACGATGCTAGTTCCTCATCCCCCTCTGTACCCGAGGTCCATATTGTATCTACCGGTGTTTATCGACAGGGAGAAGGCGAAAACTATGACGGCTATTGTTATTAAGTACGTTAGGACATTCTGTATATTAAGGTAAATTAAATGTTTCGCTTTATAGGGCGAGGTTGAAAAGCGGCGTTCGGTTTCTGGAAGCTATCCCATCTGAAGGTATTCCATGGAATATTACAATAGATATTAATCCCAGGCACACTAGCGCTACTGTAACACTTATTAGAAGGGAACCACCCAATGCTGAGATTTCGTCGAATAAAGGAGAGTACGTATAAGAAATTATATTCGTGCAAATTTGTTTGCATATGCCCATATATTCTTTTATGTGATGGTTTTTCAGTATAATGGAGTTATTCACTTGGCTGATAGAAATAGCAGAAGACGCTGTGGAAAACTACGATAAGAGCAAAATCGTATGGACTGCGAGGTACGAGCCTCATCACGAGCTGGAACCGGAGGACGATGTCCTTAAGGAGGGAAGGAAGTTAATATCGCGATTCGAGATACAGAAGGACGATATACAGGCGGTCGTGCCCATAAGCAAGGTTAAAAATTCCTGAGTAAATAAATAGGAGTATTGGATTTGATTATTTTTTTTCAGAATTGGGAAGTTTTGAATACGGCAGTGCTGACCGGCATTCAAGTGTCTCAGGCCATGAAGGTGTTTATTGTATCGCAAGCAGGCAAAGCGGCCGATGTTACATTCCAATCGTCGTGTTATTCTGAAGACGAAAGTGTTTTAAAGGTTAATTAATTAAATATTATCATTTATTAATCAATTGGATTCGGCTATGTAACTGTTTTTGTGCGTAGAAGGCCGTAAGACCTTCGAGGTTCTGGGTTATTTAACTGGCTTTTGCGTAGAAAGCCATAAGGCCTTGGAGCTTCGGGTGTATGCGACAGAGTCTATTATTGTAATTATCAATAAATTCGAGCATCCAGCGAATCAAACTCTCTATAATCATAAATATCAACCTACAAGAATCTCAAATTCTTGATACCAAAAAAATTATAAACCTGATTCTTGATAAACCTTATACTAATATATTTCACAGGTTTCTTCTTCGTGTGGGTCGGTATATGTCGATGGTAGCGAAGCTCGCGGATCCGTCAATGGTTCGGTAATTGTAAAATACGGCACTTTTACCGGTATAGCCCAATTCACAGTTTGGATGCCGGAATTTCCCTTAGAATTAGAAGTAGCCGACACCAAACTATCACAAGTGAAATCCTGGAAAGTGCCCGATTATCTACCAAAGTAACAACCACCAATTTTTACCTCTTTAGATATATTAATCTAACCATTCCCTCGCAGTTTATCGAAAATGAAAAGCCGGAAGAAGCGCTCGTTCGACACCAATTGGAGCCTCCCGACCGCCGAAGAGACCATCGAAAAGCCGATTTGTAAGCTCCGGTACCAACAAACGTCCGTGGAAGTGTACGCGCACTTCTTGGCATCTGACCACACTTCCGGCCGCACGACGTACCTGATCAACCGGAGGACGTTGCTGAGAATAACCGATCTCGTGTTGCCTTGGCTGCGGGTCAGCGATCCCAGAATAGCGAGCCTACACGGGAAGATTTTGCAGGGCAGGAGCGTCGGCAGGACCGAAGTGCAGGTATAATTCGAACGAGTTCTCGTTTGATAAGATAAACGTTTAGTTGAACTATTAAAATTTCAGGTGCTGTCGCCGATAACCAGTAGAGTTTACGGGTCGAAAGAGATTCGCGTGGGTAACGATAAAGTCGGTCTGACGAAATTGTACGTGCAAGTCGTTTCTGGGCTTCAATTGAACATATCACCGGATTCTTCCATAGATAACGTGTACGTCGCTGAAACGGGTATTACTAGAAAATTGACGGCGCAATATCAGGTATAGTAATTGGGAATTTTTGATAGAAACATTTTGAGATTAGTAGATAATTGGGAATTCTTGATAGACACCCTTTGAGATCAGTAATTGGGATTTCTTGATAGACGCACTTTGAGATCAGTAATAATTGGGGATTATTTAAGGGGCACTTTAAGATTAAAGAAACAGCATTTGAAAATTTTTGATAGGTTAACGGTTTGAGGTCATTGTTGCAGGAAGGATTGCTGGATATAGAATTAGAATTTTCGGATGGCCAGAAGACTCCGCTGAGAGATATCACGGAGAACGATTACCATCTAGTAGTAGAAAGCTTGGATCCCGATGTGGTAGCTTTCGCACCGATGATTGCTTCTCATCATCCAAGAGTCATAGCTGTTGGAGAAGGCAGCGGAGACCTGCTACAGGTTAATTTCTAACAGCCTTTTTAGTCACGAGTTTCCCCTATAAAAAAAATTTTAGGTGTCTCTTCAATTGGCTGAAGAATGTAGGGTAATCGGGAGACCGAAGTCCAAAACTCTCGGTCCTTTATCAACGGCTGCAGCGAATATCATAGTCGATTTTAACACGTTCGACCTCCAGCGACCTGATATATTACAAAATGACGGTGGCAATTTCGTAAATTCGAAAGGAAGAGATTTCGTAGACCTTCAAGACATCCTTAAAGGTATGTTCATAGTGAAAATCATTATCAGTTTCCTTATTCATTTGCTTCATTAAATCCAGGTGCTGCAGCTTCGTTGGACTCTGACGAACCCAACGTACAAGCTAGGCAATATCAAAATAGCAATAAAGGAATATTTAAACCATTTTCGATCCATTCTACTCCATTAGAAATTAGTATGTATGTGTTGCTTACCGCGTTCTGTTGTGCAATATTGGTAAGTCTGAAGATGATTTATACTCTATTCGCTATCAGGAGATTGTAATAAAACCTTCTAGAGCATTCTAAATAGCTCTGAAGTGTTCTAAATGGTTTAAGACAGTTCTACATGGTTTCAGACAGTTCTAAATGATTCTGGAACGTTCTAAACAATTCCAAATGATTCTGAAACGTTCGAAACGGTTCTAGACAGTTCTAAATGTTTCTGTAAAGTTCTAAATGTTTAATTAACTCATCCTGATAGCGACCGGACTATAATGATATTACTTTTCATACCTGAATCTTCAGAAGTCTCGAAAGCCTATCTTATGATATTTCTGCTTTCTTTCAGGTGTTTGTAATATCGTGTGTAGTTTATGCGTCTAAATATAAGCCTGTAGCGAACGTGCAAGAAAGCGTGCACACCAACCCCGCGCCGCCCATCGGGTTTCGACTCATCCACGACTTCCAAAAACCGCAGGAATACACGACCAACGTGCACGATTGGGTATGGCTGGGCAGGGCCCCGATCAGCCCACCGAACGAGCGCCCCGCCAACATGAGGATCATCTCGAACCCGCTGAACACGAATTACAGCGAGCCGGGCGACTCTTTGACCGCCAGCCTGGGACAGTCCAACCAGAGGCCGCCGAGCTCGAGGAACAGCGGCAGGAACCAGTCGAGGAACGAAAGCGACAACGGCAACGCGGACAACGAGAACGGGAACGACGTGAGAGCGTGGGACAAGCCGAAATCGCCGACTGCTCTGTCGCCGCACCCGATTCCCGGTCATTCCTCGAAGGTTCCGAAAGCGGGCGACGACTACCGCCCTCCGGTGCCGCCGCATCGTAACCTGGAGCTGTCGGGTTCCACTGGGTCCTCGCTGGATCAAGAAAATAAACATTCGGATAAGTATAGGACTCACAGGTATAAATAACCTTCGTTGTTACATCCTTTCAGTTACAGAAATGTTTTTTACAGGCTCTCGAACGAAAATTCGCAGAGGAAATACGAAGACGCTCAAATGTCCCAGTTCCATATCAATGATGAGTTACAAGACTTGATCGGAAGAGAGGAAGACCCGGAATTTGTAGAATACTTGAAAAGTCCAAGCAATAACGGTACATGCGATATAATATTCCAGTAAAATTATAAAGTTAAATGCTATTATTACTGTAGGTTACCAAAAAAGGGCCGAAGTTAAATTAGCGACTATTGTAGGAAACCCGATGATTAATGGAACCTTAGAGAAAAATAAGTTGTCTGATTTGCCCAATTTAGATCAATTGCCTTTAGACATGGATTACCATCAGATTATGCATTACTTTGAGAATTTAAAGGTAAAAAACCTACAACTCATATATCGTTGGTATCGAAGAGGTTGATATAAATGCATGTGTATTGCAGGAATCGAATGCCTGAGTAGAGGAAATAATCGCCGATATTCATGCCATAATGTTAACATTCAATAGCCGGTACAAGGCTGCACAACTGTACGACTACCTCTGAATGAATTCAAATGAATGGATTTTCGACGATTCTACCGACTGATAAGCAATTATACGAGATGTTTCTACCACTGTCAAAATCAATTAAGCACTGAGATCGCCTTCACTATATCAATGTATTTCTACGAAAATTTAAACTTTAGCTTCGCATGTTAGTAATCGTGACCAAAAAGCTTACCAAATATTATAACGTGTACATTTTGTAACATAACATAACAGGAGAATTTCACATTATTAAACAGTGAATTCTGAACGTGAAACTTTGTGTCTATTTAACGAGTAAATAATGTAGAAGCAGCACGAGTGAGACATGCAAATATTTGTAAAAATGTCAATAAAATGTACAATAAACTGACCTATTACATTTAATGTTTCGATGAGTAGCTTAGAGCATCGCGCGGTGTCCTGTTGTAATTCAATTTCGAGTTTACCCCTTTGTTCGGCTTTTGCAATATATGTAAATAAAAATAAGACGCCTTGTATGTTGATTGTTATAGGACTAAATGACGCTTTATACGATTCTCGATCTTTCAATTCTTCCCCACAAAAATCCCAAAAATTTTCATCAATATTATAAATACTTTATTGGAACTTTGAACCAGTAAACATACAAACACGATGCATATAGATAAGTTAATTGTTGGAAAAATAACGACCCTTTTTATACAGACAAGTTATATATAAAATTAGGTGCAGCCTAGAATTATTCATCTTAAGAAAATAAATTAATAACATCCTTTAAATATCTTTTTCAGAAATTATATCAAAAGTTATTCCATTTTCACAAAGAAGGTTGATAAGAGAGGTTTTCTCGAAGGCACTTCCTGGTGTAAATACACCTCCACTAAAACACAAATTTTACATAATAACCACACACTTATTAATGAAGATATTTACAAATAATAATGCTTACCCCTGTGGTAATTTTTCTTTTTCCGAAATAAGAATAATCGCAGCTCCAACTAAACAAGCGCAAGTAGCCCCATAACCAGGATTCCTCCCTTTAACTCTAGCAATTATACTTTTATTTGGGGGGTTGGAATACTGGTCGTTTTTATCGGGCAATTTCTCCCTCCAGCCCTCCCCGTAAAAAGTAATTTGAAATATAGTATTGTTTATTTTCTCTTCAGACGGGTTCTGATCCTTTCTGAACATACCAAACGTAAACAGGTGTGGATACTAAAATTTAAACCTCGTAATTCAGATACAGCGAGTACAGTTACAAACTTACGTTCAACAGTAAACTCCTACCCCATTTAAACTTGACCAAAAGCGTCCAAATCAAGAAGGATATAACAATAAATATAACAGCTATGAAGCTGCTAAAAGTGACTTGGGTATCGACTTGTACAGGCCGCTTATTTTCCTCCTCGTACATGTACCTTTGGGTTCTTTTCATGACCGAACGATCTGCTCCGGGAAATGGCAAAGCCCACCCATCAACCACACCAGGCCGGTGCGGTAACGTTCTAAAATGCACATCAATCGTTTCATTGTCTTTGCTACATTCGGATATAGTTACTTGGTTTGTAAGCTCGGCTTGAAGCTGGGCAGTCTCTTAGGAAAGAGCTGCCTTCGAATCTGCGACAATTCGGTAGCATGGGCCAAGCCGTAGACTAAGCTCTCCCATGTACCGTAATTCACAGCGGGGCCGGGTAGACCCTCGCCCTCCTCCGACGTGTAAAGGTAGGTGACGACCGAATTCAGAGTACCATCGAACTTATCTTGAAGGAAAATTAAACCCAAGTCGCAAGGGATGCTGTCCAAACCGCAAGCGCTCACGAGGTACACTCCTAGAAACCCGAATTGTAATTGGAGTTATTATGAGGTATTTTATGAGACCTTTCTCTTGTGCGGCTTTGTGGTACTTCAATTGGATGTTTTCTAAAAATTGGGGCTCTCCGCTGACATCAACGTAATGAGTACCAGCTTCGATGCAAGCTTTAACCACTGGTTCTCCCAGGAATCTGTAAGGCCCACAGCAGTTTATAACAATTCTCCCTTGTTTTGCCATATTGGCTAAAGACTCGTCGTTTTTAATATCGGATATTATTATAGGAACAGCCGATAAATCTACACCTGCAAAAATTAATACGAAATTGCTTATATTTAACGCGACTTATTACTTATGAATTACCGATCTTATTGCCCATCTGAGCTAATGCATCCTTCAATTTTTCTTCCGAGCGTCCTGATATAGCCCATGACAAGTTCCTTCCGTTCTCTTTCGAGAGCTTTTGTAAGTAAGGAATGCAGTGGATACCGGTAAAACCAGTTGCTCCGAGCAATACTATATCGTACCTTTCTGCTTCTACTGCCATTTCTGTTCGATCAGACCTTTAAATTGTATTTAAAGAGTATTAGATAGTAAAGAGTAAAGATAGATTATTTACACTTTGAAATACAAAAAAAAGGTTCAGGTACAATCTCAAGGGTCCATCAATAATCCGAAATTTTAACGATCTTTTAATGAGAGTGTCTCGGCACGATCTATGATTATTGCAGTGCGGTGGCAAAAATCGAAAACTGGACATTTTTTAATAAATCTGAAAATTTCTCAGAAACGGTGATAGTTAGGTATAGGGAAGTGTTAAGAAAAAATGGTTCATTAACTTAATAGATTCATTATATAAAGGGCCTTGAACTCATGACGATTTGAACATAAAAATGGTCATAAATTTTTAAATAATCAGTATTGTTGTATGAAATCTTGTATTGAAAAACTCGTGAAAACGAGCTGAAATCGAATATGAAATAAAAAACATATCATTGCCTTAAAAAAAAGGTATGTTTGGTACGCCTTCGATTTACGGACCACCCTGTAGATTTCAAAATAATTTTAAAATATGCGCCTAAAGGTGCTTATAACTAATTAACGATCTTAAAATTCATGAAAAATAAATAAAGCAAACACTAAATTAAATTAATTTATAAGAATATTTTGCCCGTTTGCAATTTTTGCCACCGCACTGCAATATTGAGATCGGTTACCTCCATGCCGAGACACTCTCATTAAAATGTCGTTAAAATTTCGGATTATTGGTGGACCCCCGAGATTGTACTTGGACCCAAAGAAATATCTATACAAAATGATATTGTAATATTTACTGTGTTCTACAAAATGTTTAATATAAAAACTGACCTTAAATATTATGTGTATAGTAAATATTGGAATGTTCAACAGCACTTAAGTGCAATAATAATGTTCTATATATAGGTTAGGGTTATTGCTGATAAGTAAATAAACAGCAAAAATGGTACTCTACAAGTAAATAATTATGCAAAATGACGATGGCGATGATATATCACCGATAATTGGTAAATTAAAAAGTACAACCTTGGTAGTATTTTGACAAGAAATGAATTATTTCCTTACCGTTATTCTGACCAAATTACGACCACAAATCAACAATGACACTGATCAATTATATTTAAAAAATACACCACTTAGGTTTTTTAAATCAATTTAATTTATCCTGTCAAATCAACTTGAACTTAGCTATCCTCATATACATATAAATATATATGTATATATTTATATATTTATTAATATATTTATATGTATATGGCTATCCTATAAAGGATCAAAAGTCAAAGTACAGTAATTCTAATGTGTCATTCAGCCAAAAAGTGGCTTAAAACCCTCAACAATGAAGGCCAAAAATTTTTTAACACCTTAAAAATTTGACGTATGACTCACAGTGTACTGTCACTGTCATTACAAGTGTCCAATCCGAATCCAGTTAGACTGAAAATACTTTTGAAAATAAAAATGAATATCTAATTTAAATGTAAGGGAAATATGTCGAAGGAAGCACGCTATGGTTTATTATACAGCGAATATGAATACGAATCATACGTACGCATTAAATCGGAAAAATGTTGTGTCATCGTAGCTTGTTTTCCCATATTAGCTATGACTTTCTGTATAGTGTATTCCGTCCTGTTTAATTTCGACGAAGCAGTTTATACACATTGCGATGTTTATAATTTGCTGCCTTCGATTTCAGCAGCGATAGGTAGCTTCTCCCCGCAAAGGGAAGTTTGGCAAGGAGCCGTAACCATACAGGCAATCCCGAGATTCCTATATGCTGTTCAATATTTGAATTTCCATAACAAATTGCTGCCTTCTCAGGATTTTTGGATCGCCCAGATGGCGTTCTTTTTAAGTATCGTGGAAAATATTGCTCTCATTATTTTGTCGTTCTTCGTATCCTCCCAATATTACTGTAAGTAGCTCGGGCTTTGTTTGCTAGTTATACGTATTAACTATTTTCTTGCAGCTGTTCATAAGAAAGCTTTCGTAACGTTCATACTCTCCTCCGAAGTGTATATGATCCTTACCTGCATTTTGCAAAGCCGATTTAAAAAGCCGTTTAGGATCAGTTTGAAATGGAAAAAGAGATTCCTTGTAACGAACATGATTTTTATTGTCGTTGCTTCCTACTTTTTCATGAGGCACAATTCGTTTTGTGAACCGTACGGTAAGTATTAAGAATTTGAAATTTCACTCGTTATTAATTTTTTGCCATGTTTCAGTGTACAGTCTGTTCGCATTCGCTGAATACATAGTAGTGTTCTCTAATATGGCTTTCCACATGACTGCCTTCTTCGACTTTCAAAACAAAGATTTTGTGATCTACAAAAACGGGCTCGCGCTTACAGACAGATAATATTTAGTCATATAGCTAGTCATATAATTTTTAGTTAATTTATTTGCATTGTTACATTTTTTTGAAACAGTATTAGTATCTCGTGCTTTGTGTAAAAAAGTCCAATTGAATGAAAATTTGTATCGGGTCGTGCTTGACAAATTTTGCATTGTAAATATTCTGAAGCAATCAAAAATAAATTTGTTATTATCTACTAATGGTTGTTGATGGTTAATTAATTTTTTGATTGCTTAATTTGTATGAGATACTCTGTTTGTGTTGTTAAAAAGTGATTTATTTAGGGCGTTATAATGAAACAAGAGGTAATGTGGGGTTAACTAAAAGTAAGATTAGAATGTAATTATTATCATCAATTGGGAAAATACATTCTAATATTTCTATTAGTTTATACCTTATGTTTTATTAATGGGGCCCATTTATGTTACATTAATCTGCAAAATGTACCTACATTAATAGGTATGCACTCCAAAAAGGTCTTGATTTTCTGTTATTATTGAAAGAAACATTGAATTATACTTCAACATTTTTTCAATGTGTTTGTTATTATGTTGCTTTTAGGAATAAAATAATTGTATTGGAATGTATAGGTATTAACTTTTTTTTATTCAAAAGAAGTTAAATATGGTATTAAAATGTGATTTTTATACGAATTTTTATTAAAATTGTAACTAGGTATTTAAGAAATACGCCTGAAAATGACTTAACATTAGCTTTTGTAAGTATTTTGTTAAAAAACGAGTGAAACAAGCTATCAAATTATTGTCTTATTTGATGTCTAGTTTTTATTTATAAGAAGACAGTTGGTAATAATTTACCTGAGTTATTTCACATTCTTATTATGTATTTCATATTTGATAATAATTTTTGATAGCTTGGAATGTAATCGAAGGAGCAATTTGTACTTATAGACAAGTATCAGAATTGTCTATAGCTCAAAAATTGTATTTGAACTCTGTAACTAATTTGAAAAGCTCAACATTCAGTTACTTTTTGCTCTTAAAGCATTTTATAAACGTCGAGGCTAATTATTTTTGAGTATATATTTATTGACTCTAAACAAAAAGAGAATATTTGAGACTGGTTGGATACATAAATAATATGTAGGGAAATCTAAGCATTTACAATTTTTGTAACTAATCGTATTTTTTTGTAGGAATATTGTTTAAGTGAACTCCACTTAATTTTATATCCTAATAATTCATAATTTTATTCAATGGTTTTTATTACAGACATAATTCGCTTTAGGTATTTCATTATACAGGTATATATGTATAGAGGTAGATGCAAAATTGTTTGCTTAATGGTTACAACAAAGACAACTTCCATTAATCTCATATAAACGAAAAAGAAAGAGCGATATTGTGGTATTGCAACTTTCTCACTCTAACCACTGTTATTTTAATAATATTTCTTTGTTTAACTGATAGATTTGACCATATTGCAAACAATCTTGCACTTACCTATATACAGGGTGACCCAGGGTCGCGTTAAAGTCCCATAACTTTTTACCTAATTGAGATATCGACTTGATTTTTTTTTCAAAAGGTAGGTACAATAATACTGCGTATTATTAAAATAGTTTCGTCTATACACAGGGTGGCTTAGTATTAGAAATTCACTAAAGTTACCTTTTTTTTAATGGAACCCCCTGTATATTATAACATTTTTGAATTCTTTAGTGAATTTTAGTGTGACTTTATGTACCATACATTGTACCTAAAACCAATCGTTTAGTGGTAATTCGACATTTTCGAAAAAAGTAGAGGTTTGAAAAAAAATGAATATTGCCGCTTTTGTAAAACTTAGGAGGTCGTGACTCTGGGTTATTAGTAAACATGAAATGTACTACTGTGTGACATGGATTCAGAATTGAATACTGTTTGTGTTCTTAGATATCGATAAGCAAATTTACAAAATTTCAATTAAAGGTAACTTGATTTTTTTAAATGAAACTACCTACTTTTTTGTACACCATCTTGTAGAAAATTTTATTGCCTTTCTAACGATATAACATTGTCAATATTTTTACCTGCTAGTTTTCTCTTAATTCCGGAATTTCTTATAATTCGCGGTAATTTTCAATTTTCAATAGAACTGTTCAAAGTGGCTCAATATAGTAAATTAAATTAAAATAAAACAAAAATTTTATAAAAGATAGTGAGTTATAAAAAAAGTATACAGATCAATCAATCAACTACAATTTATTTGATTATAGGGAGATAATGATAATGTACAAGAAATAATGTAAAGAACAGTTTTTTTTGATAGCACAATAATTTTTCTTACAGTAGACGCTCAAAGATATTGCTATTATGTTCGATTACGTCTTCTTAAAAACTAATTTTTAAAGCGCGTTAGCATGTTTTAATCAATTGATCGAAAAGCGTCTCTTATCCGGATCTTCATGTCGTTAGCTGTTGTTGGCCTGCCCGTTCCCGCGATTTGACACCAATTGATTTTTTCCTATGGGGATTTGTTAAGGACAATGTCTATAGTGTTAGGCCAACAACAGCTAACTACCGCGAATACTACTAAATTACCGCGAATTATAAGAAATTCCGGAATTAAGAGAAAACTAGCAGGTAAAAATATTGACAATATTATATCGTTAGAAAGGCAATAAAATTTCCTACAAGATGGTGTACAAAAAAGTAGGTAGTTTCATTTAAAAAAATCAAGTTACCTTTAATTGAAATTTTGTAAATTGGCGTATCGATATCTAAGAACACAAACAGTATTCAATTCTGAATCCCTGTCACACAGTAGTACATTTCATGTTTACTAATAACCCAGAGTCACGGCCTTCTAAGTTTTACAAAAGCGGCAATATTCATTTTTTTTCAAACCTCTACTTTTTTCTAAAATGTCGAATTACCACTAAACGATTGGTTTTAGGTACAATGTATAGTACATAAAGTCACACTAAAATTCACTAAAGAATTCAAAAATGTTATAATATACAGGGGGTTCCATTAAAAAAAAGGTAACTTTAGTGAATTTCTAATACTAAGCCACCCTGTATATAGACGAAACTATTTTAATAATACGCAGTATTATTGTATCTACCTTTTGAAAAAAAAATCAAGTCGATATCTCAATTAGGTAAAAAGTTATGGGACTTTAACGCGACCCTGGGTCACCCTGTATGAAAACGAAGACAATAGGCCGTATTTATAAAAAGAAGCGTAACCTTTTGCTTTCAAAAAATTAAGGAATTACTTTAAGGTGTATGCATAAAAAGAAGTGAAGGAAGAGATGTTTTGCTTCGAGGACCCATGCTGTTGCTTTAAAGCAAAAGGTTTTATGGTATAATACCTTTGTTTAAGGTTTCAAAACCTTTTTCTCTTTTTTTTTGCTTCTACCTTTTATAAACTTCAAAGTAAATGCTTCATTTTTATATGTATGACTAATGAATCGGTGTGCTTCGAAGAAATTGAACCAAACAAATCAATATTATTCCTCGACTCTTGCCATCTAATATAATTAGAAATTGTTGCATCAATTCATAATTTTCATTCTATATATCCTAGCTATGTATATATTTATATAGATGCATTTATCTTCCATACTGCACATTTTATACCGGGTGATCAATCAAAGTATAGAATTTTTATTCTACTTTGACAACAAATTATTAATAAATTATCACCCCGTATATTTATTACGCACTACTTTATTGTGCCAATTGATTGACATTTACTTCTTATTATATACAAATAAGATGTTGCGGTTTTGGTAATTTGAAGAATTGGGAGGTGGTTTTTAGTAGTTAAAACGAAAGATTTTTTTTATTTTATATGATAGATATCTGGTGCTCTATTAGTTTCTTATAAATTTTATAACTACATATTATTTTTTCTCTGTTAAAACGGAATATCTAAATTTAAGGAATTTTTTTGTACTTTTTATAGATCCCTTTTGTATAATTTCAAATTGATTTGTTAATGGTGTGTAAATTAACGTTTAATAGCAGACCGAACCATTGCGATAGTTACTACAAAACGCTTTTTTTAAACTAAATTTCTAAATGCACACGTTCAAAATGAAATTGCGAACTAGGGCACAGAAAGGATCAAATAATGTAAATAGAAAAAAAATTGAAGTGAACAATTCTGACATTACATATCATATTTTCAATAAACTGTATTGCCTATATTAAATGTTTTCTTTTTTATAATTTTTTTTTGAATGGTCATTCTTTCTCGCGGTAATTTATGGGGTTTTTACCTAGATATTCGTCTTTTACTGTTTTGGCAAGCAATTTTAAAACTGAAAACTTACTGTTTGACCGATGAGTACAAGTCTATTTTTCGGATTGTGAGTTATGAGAAGACAAATGTCAACTGTCAACTCATTGTGATTGATATTGATGGAAGTCGGTAACTGAAATTTATTTTCTTCGGTATCAATAAGAATAATACGATTATTAATAAGGAAAGTTACAAATTATATCCATCATTTATTAATCGTAAATTTAACATGGCTGTTCTTGCTGCCGCTCAACTTTTGGACGAGTTGATGGGCCGAAACCGAAATGTGGCTCCCAACGAAAAAGTCAAAGAGCTCAATTGGGAAGACTCAGAAGTAAGTACAATTGATTAACATCTACTCTACAAATCTCTTACCACCCATTTTTCTTCCAGTACTGCAAATATTTCCTAGCCAAGTTCTGCCCTCACGATTTGTTTGTAAACACGCGGGTAGACCTCGGCGCCTGCTGCAAAGTCCACGACGAAGAAGTCAGGAAATTGTTCCAAAAGGCCAAGCCCAACCACCACAGGAAGCTCCAGTACCAGGAGGACTTCCTCAGGTTCTGCAACTCCATGTTGAACGATGTCGAAAAGAAAATCGTGAAAGGCAAACAACGACTGGCTCTCAGCGCGAGCGGCAAGACCGACGTCCCCTCGATATCGCCCGCACAAACGCAAAAGAACCAGGAACAAATCAACATCCTAAACGAACGAATCAACGATTTAGAAGCCGAAGCCGAGCAGGCCGGCACCGACGGCAACGTCGAGCAGGCCCAAGGTCTTATGAAACTTTGTGATCAACTCAAAGAGGAACGGGACGGTTTAAGGAAGCAAATCGAAAATGGGTAAGTAAATAAAAATGCTCTAATACAAGAATTTTAAATAATATTCTTTCTTTAGTCACTTCAGTGCTACGGCAGAACTGGCAGCTGCTCAAGAAAAGCAGATGGAAGTGTGCGAAGTTTGCGGAGCATTTCTAATCGTAGGCGATGCCCAACAACGAATTGACGATCACTTAATGGGCAAACAACATATGGGGTTAGTATAATTAGCTGTTCCACAATGTATAATTAATTACAATGATTAATTTGTCAACAGATTTGCTCGTTTGAAAATTGCAATAGAAGAAGTAAGCGAGCTAGTTAAAGTCGCTAAAGAGAAACAGTACGGAGGTAGGGCCGGGCCAGGAACCGAGGAAAAGCGAGAACGCGAGAGGGATTTGAGAAAGGAGCGAGAATTCGAAAGATCTCGATCGGAGCAGAGGTAGTGATGAATACTAATGGTAAATTGGTTGATAAAGTACACTTATGTTATTTTAGGGAAAGGGAAAAGGATAAAGAGAGAGAAAGAGACCGAAAAATAAGAGAAAAAAAAGTAAAGACTGGAGATAGGAGTGATAGAAGGGAAAGGGAATCTTATAGAGAAAGAGAAGCGCATCGAGAGAAAGAACGAGACGTGGAAAAAGAAAAAGACCGGAGTCGAAGGCATCGAGATTCCGGTAATTCCGTGTAGGAAAAATAAATACTTATTTGTTTAATTTTAAATGTTTTCTAGGTCGACGTCATCACCACAGTCATCGTAGGCATTAAATTTTTGACCAGTAAGATTTTCCTTAACAGGTAGGTTACTGTCTGTTTTCTGACTTTTATCTATTTTTGTTTTTCAGGAAAAATTCAGGTTAGTGATTAAAATAAACAAAATTAGTAATTATAATGTATATATTTTTGAATGCATTTTTATATCTTTTTGGAAGCTTAACATTTGGTTCTTTGAAAAAGATGAAAATGTAATAAAAATTCTAACAAGATGGGTGTACTTAGTACACTTTTTTACAAAGTATATACTTTATGCTACACATTTCGAATTGTAAAATTCAGGTTTTTCCAAGAAATTTTCTATACCAATTTACACTAATTTGTGCAATTTACGGTGAATTTTACTGTTTTTTTTTATGGAAGTGTTGTCATCACTTGGTTTTGATTTTCCTTTCGTGAATTATGATAGGTAGGTAAAGCTTGAAGGAGACTTTTCAGAGGCATTAGGAGTGGCTACCACTTTGAAAAAATTAATGTGATTGACAATTACCTCGTAAATAATTGAGCTATTTTTTTTTAACATTGCCTTATAATTTTTCCAAAAACCACGGTGTCCTTGTGTCTACAGATCGAGTTGGTTAAAAAACAAGAACAACAGCGTTTTGTCCAACTTTAACAATTATTTTATGGCAGTATGAAAACGTGGATATCAGCTGTTTATACCTTCGATATTCAGGTATTTAAACTGACAACTACATCAAATGTAGTTCTTATTTTATGAATTAAAAACATGATTATAAAATTCCATTAAATGTAATTTAAATTTTAAACATAATTGGCTTTTAAGGCTTAGGAAACTGCATTTGGAAATAGATAAGTGTATATTCAAATAGAGATTTGAAGTCGTCGTATATCGAAATTCTTCGTAAATAATTTTGTTATATGATTTTATGTCATTGCATACAGCAGGTTACGACAATGAGCATGGAAAATTAAACTAACATTCGAATGAACAAACAGGATGATACAATTATAATTTTCTCAATTTTTGCTATTTTACAGAAAGAAATAATTTATTTCTAAAAAAAATTATTGTTTTTTTTATCTATTTTCAGAAAAGCTAGCTTACCAGTTCGTTTTTAAAAAAGCAGAAGGAGTTACGTTAAAAAAATTCTCTAAAGTATAACCAGTGTTGAAACCATTAAATTACTACATACCGCGAGACCTGGAGAAGGTGCCCTGGCCTGAGGTATTTGTATATCGTTAAAAAACAATACTTACATTGTAAATTAGTTTGTTTAGTATACTTCAATAATAAATGTTATACGAGTGTGTTTTGATCATTCAACTCAAAAAAAAGAAAATATAAAACTTGAAACAAAAGCAAATTTATGTAATAAAGTTTAATAAAATCGATACATTTGTGAATAATGTTTCTAAAGGCATAAATTTTCATAATGAAATAAATAAAAGGCACAATCTATACAAACTTTATAAATAAAACTCTTATCCCTGTCCTTTAAATACAAAAATAAATTATCACAATCCAATCACTTTCATTACAATTTCTTTGAAAACATTCGAAATACCTACAAATTATTCACTCAATCTTGTCATTATAATTGGTCAATATAACGAGTTATTAACATGCAACATTACGATAAAATATTTTATAAAATTTCTTACACAACATAACTCAATAAATTTGTTAATATATAAATTTTAAATGTTTTACTACTGCTATATAAGGCGTAATTTGTTATAAAATATAAATATATTTATATATCTTACTTATATTAAATATTTGGTCGCTTTTCTAAGGCCTATTCTCGATAGCAAAAAATCTCAATATTTAGACATTTTGTATATCTCACAATAATTGATATATAAAAATTTACACAGCTTTAAATAATAAAGTGTATATTTTAGGTTTTGCTTGCAAAGCCTTACAAAATTTTATGATCTAGTTAATGTGAATCCAATCTTATGGAAAGCTTCAAAAGCTGCTAGAAACCGGAACTGGAATATACGATATGTTTTAAAGATTTTTGAGAATTTTTTTAAGGAAAGTTTGAAGGGTAGAGGCAATTTTGCTAAAAAGTAGCATTATTGATTTTGATTTTTTTTGGCTATGTAAATTACAGACTAGACTTTAAAATTTTGTAAATAATCATTTAGTAAAGAGAATAGTTTTAGATACAAATTATGAATTGTCGCCTCATAATCATAATATAATATCGCTTTACTAAGGGCGAAATGATAATTTTGTCGGCTACATCTTCATTAGCACATCAACAATCCATAATTTTATAAATACACATAAATTAACTTTGAAATAAATAACAAATTCATCCAGATTGTCAAAGACACACCGCAAATAAGCTAACACCATTTATTTTTTGGTTAAAAAACAATATGCAGTTCATGTAAGAGACAATCCGTACGAAATCAGATCAGTTAATTCCCGACAATTAAAATTAAACAATGAAATATAATATTAACAACAAAATGACTATGCTGATATAGTAACTAATGTGATTTGGTTCTTATGAATAGATAGGTATAACAAAAAAAAAAACAACATAAGTGTACAAAACAAATTGTCTACACTATCATAAATACCTAAATATAAAATTTAGAGTTTAAGCACAAGAATTTTCAAACTTGAGACTCAAACGCACAGCCGAAACGGAAACAACAACAAAATAAAACGTATATTAAAATAATAACAAAATTTTCCGATTCGACTGTAGATTTTCCTACAACCGTGGTTGAAAACGAAACAGAAATCAAGTTCATTATTGCTAGCTATGGTTCTTGAATCCCTACGAGTAAAAAAGTGTAACGCAGTATAAATTATTTAAACTAAAATCAATTCGGTCGCCTCGTAAATAATTGAAAAACAATATCAATTGTTGTGAGGTTAATGACCACAATAAAGCAGATAAAGTAAGATAAATAATTCTAATCACTCACGAGATAAAATTCATATGTGTTTCAACAGGTAATTTAAATTGTTTTATTTGCAGAAAACAAATATACAGGGTGTATCTAAATAACACTGAACGGGGTGATTCTGTGATGAAAATTAAGGTGTAAACCAATTTTTTTTGGTTGGCTTTTGTTCATGTTAAATGATATGTAACATGAGCTTGCAATACATTTTTTTTTCTCGTAAATGCTTAAGTTTTTGAAAAAAGTTAGTAAATGAATAGGGTTTTCAGCCATATTTGTTTAAAAGAAAAAATGTCTTTGGGGTTGACTATTTCAACCTCTTCTTAGCACACATCAGGGTTGAATTCAACGAAATGAATTTCAATGAAAAAAATTCAAAATGTGTAGTTTCATTAACAAATAATATTCCCCAAATTTCGTGTCTTTAGCTTAGCTTATACAAGGAAAATACAAAAAGAAGAAACATATTTTTTTTATCTTCGGAGGGGTATAACTTTTTCGGGGGGTTCAAAAAATTTGATACTAAGTACCCACCTTAATCACCATTTAATTTTTTTCGGTGTTATTAAGATACACCCTTTATAGGTTAGTAACTAACCAGAAAATGTTGTAGCATTATTAATTATACTATCTTATTAAACTTTGGAAATAATTTATATTGCGCCAACTTGTTAAGGCCAATAACAGAAACTTGAATTATTTTTAGGCACATGCATGACTTTCGTCTAGATCGAATTAAATCCTAAATAATACTAATTACTCTGAGATTTTTTCGTTAATTTTTTCAGTATTAGCCGCCACTTCGGCCAAAGTCGCCAAACCCAACAGATCGCTATTAACGTTACCAGCGTCGTTTTTGCCACCTAAATGAGTGATGCTCTGCTTGTTTTTCCGCTTCTTGGACCCCACCGGCTGCGCGTCCTTGCTCAGCTTCAGCGCCTTCTTGCGGTGCTCGCCCTCCGGCTTGGCGCGCGCCTTCCTCTTCTTGCTGTCGCGCTTCCGCTGCGTGAACTCGTCGTAGCTCAGGCTCGACAGGCCCGAGATGCGCGCGTTCAAGTCGAAATTCGGCGGCGAGTTCTTCCCTTCGCCCTCGGACGTCTCGGACATGCTGCGCTCGCGCTTCACGTCCGGCTGCGCCTCCTTGTCGCCGTCGAAGTCGATCTTGATGTTGGTGCGCTCGGCGAGCCGCTTGATGGTGTTGCCTAGGTCTAGCTTTGGTGTTTCGGATTTGTTGTTGTTGAATTGAAGGTCCGTCTCCGAGCGGGTTTGCCGCTGATGGACGAACTTCGTCGGTTCCCGTTTGTTGCCCAGCAGCTTGCTCGCCACCATGAACGTCTCGTAGCGCTTGCCTTTGCACCGTCGCTCCGATTTCCTCGGCTCTTTCAGCCCGTTTTGGTCGATGATGATGTCGTCGGTGTATTTTATGAAACCATCCTCGAAAATCTACAATGAAATAGTCAATCGATTGGTTATGTACTCATTAAAATCACACATTAATCAAAGGGTATAGACACTCGATAATGAGCTTTTGTAATCAGTATTGTGACTAATAAAAACTTACTCATATGTAGATACAAAACTTGCTATGCAATATTGTTAACTTTTGGAAATTTTGCATTGTCTATAGAACGGACAAGGGTAAAGTAAAAAGTTCTCGGACCAACAATGAAATGATTTTTTGGTAGAAAAAATTACATTATTCTTATGTCGAAATTTTTAGTTCGACACAGTTCTAATTGACTGCAGCATTCTAAATAGTTCTAGACAGTTCTTAATAATTCTAGACAATTCTTAAATGGTTCTGGAGCGTTTTGAATGGTTCTAGACATTTCTAAAAGATGCTGAAGCCTTATAAATGATACTGGAACATTCTAATTAATTATGAAGTGTTCTAAATTGTTCTACACTTATAAGCGTTTTAGCGTTCTAAATGGTTCTAGATAGTTCTAAATGATTCTGAAGCGTTCTAAATGATGCTGGAGCGTTATAAATGATTCTGGAGCGTTCTAAATAATTCTGGGCGTCCTAAATTGTTCTTGACAATTATAAGTGATTCTGGAGCGTTCCTGATTGATCTGGACAATTCTAAATGATTCAGGCTGAGGACCTTTCATCCCACCCTCGTATGAAGGATCAGGATTTTCTTCTAAATCTCAGAACAGCTTCCCATTGATTTTAAATTGCTTATTAACTTAACGACATCCGTTCCTGCATCTAAAAGTAGTTTTACCTTATCTACCGTTTCTCGATTCGAATTGTTTCCGAATTCCTCAGCGGCATCATCATCCATCGAAAGATTCCTGGAGCAATCGGTAACGTTAGGATCCACATAATCGACCAATCTCTTCTTGATAGGCTTCGGGGGCGTGCTGACTCTAATAGTAGTCACGGGGCTGACGAAAGTGTCCTCGATTTTGATTTTGGCTTCCGTTTTCGGAACGTTGTTGTTGTGCTCCGCTTCGATCTTCGGCGTGGAGACGAAATTGTTCATCAAGGACGTAAGGCCTCCGAGTTGGGATTCGTCGGCCAGCTTGCCGGGCGTGAATTCGGATAAGGAGGTAACGGTCGTGGGGGCTATGGAAGGACTAGATATGGATGGATGAGGCTTGGGAGCCGGTAGAGGCCGCGTGGATAGCGTGCGAAGAGGTGGAGCCGGTAGTTTGTACCATCTGAAGTCCGGGTTGGCTGATAAAAAGGCATCTTTGTACTAAAATAAAACGTAGTCTTATTATCAATAATTCTATGTGAAGTTACTAGTAAAGTTGGGATTATTTGAAAGAATTCCTCCTTTTAAAAGTTACCTAGAACTCTAATTAGTTCACGTGAGCAATTGAAAGTTTTCTTGGATTTATAAAAAAATGATATTACGTCAATTTAGATCGGCTATAAATAAATTATTTTTAGTATCTAATTTAATCATTCCTTGGCCAATGATTAATCTTACAAACGTTTTATCGTATAAAATGTATTCTATTTGTTTTCTTTTAATTCCCAATGAAATTATGAATTTTAAATCGTCCATCGCATGAGTTAAATTACAATTTAACAATAGCGATAACGACGTTACATGAATTATACTAGAAGATTTAATGCTGATTTCGTTCTTTAAAATGTTTCAAATGCATTTGGTAAATATAAGGATGTGAAAAAAATACGTTACCTCTTTAGCTAAATTGTTATATGGCAGTTTTTCAGTGCTATTTAATAATGCCCACCACTCTCCCAAAATTTTAGTGACTGCTCTATTTTCTAAGTTTGGATATTTTTCTCTAACAATAGGTCGATGTTTCTTACAAAATATCAAAAAGGCATTCGGCGGTCTTCTGGCATGGTGAGAAGGAGATTCTTCTTTGGTATTACTTTGCTCATTATCCTGAATTTCCTCTTTCTTAACATCGCTCGAAATTAAGTTTTGATTTTCAGGCGTTTGATTTTCAGTAACTTTGGTCGTTTCGTTTTCCTTGACAACATCCCAGGTCAATTTAGTATTGTCGAAATTTCCGGTATTTTCGCTTTTGATCTGACCCATCTTGTAGAGCCACCGTTCTTTTATTGTTTTCTCCTGACCATTCGGATTTAACTGATTGTTGTTTTCAGTCAACTGCCTGCTATCAGCTATAAAGTTGGTTTTCGAAGGTGTTTCTGATAACACGAAATTATTATTGTGTGGTTTCATAAAGCTGTTTTGGGTGTTTTGAACTGACAGAAAATTCATGTTTGTAAATTAAATTGCGGACAACCAAACCAAAACAAAAGTAAGTTCCTAAAACAAATAGAAAAAAATTATATGTAATTGATGTCTAAAGAATTATTATAATGAGCGTGAATTTATATTGTACTGAAATGATTTATTTAAGTGTTGCCGGACGATTTCGCTACTTAAATAATAAATTAATTCAATAGTGATGGAATAATTGAGAACCTTGTTACACTAATTTAAATTTTTAATTCAATAGTAGCTATTACACTATGATACGGTGCAATTAAATTAAATCCTAATAATAATAATAAAGTTTGATGAATATTTTATGTTTCTAAAAATTACATATCTGCCTAAAACTGAGAGAAATGTTTGTATAAACAATTCGACAGAAGTGGTAATTAAATATAACTTATGTTTACATCTCGAATGAATATATTGAAACTTATTTAAATCTGGCATTGAATCCAAAAGCCGATTAAAAAGTTTTTTTGTCCTGCAATTGCCCTAATCATAACTTCAAATATTTGAAATACAATTTGCACTATTCATTCAAATATACATAAGTGAAAAAATAAAGTATGAAATTTAAAATTGTTACTTATTTGTTTTGTTGAAAATTAGGCTTCCCAAGACAAAATAAACAATATTGCGCAATTATGATAACTCATCTCGACAAGGTTAACAACATTTAGCAAAAGATACATGTTCCATTATTTTCTATAACGTATTTCATAAGAATAATGAAACTATTATGATTGCATAATGGTAAATTAAAATATATAGCAAACTCACAAATCACTAGTATTTAGGGATGGTGCTGTGACTGTATGAAAACAATGCAAGCAACATTATCGGGTATAGAAATATTTTTCATAGACTCAAATATTTTGTGTAAATTTATTTATTTGCAATAACAAAATAAAGATATTTGCTGAAACGTACTTGTTTGTAAAAAAAAATCATTTCGAAACTGTACATGAATAATTAAAATGAGACAAACAAGAAGTTTGTAAATGGAAATATTACTGAAAGAATTAAGGAGCCTCCTATAGGTATAAGTGTATTATTGTTATCTGCTGCATATTCTCCTCCTCAGATAATACTAAAACATGCTTACTGATTGTGATTATTAAATTTAGAAGCAATTTAAATGTAATTTTGCTGGAAAAGTGGATAACGTTGAAATGCATTTAACCCAAAAATATGTTTAGGTGTATGTTTTTATTACATATAAACCAGAGCCAAAATATAAACAAAAAACCTATCATAGTATTCAAGAGAGTTATTTTTAGACAAAAGGCAAGTAGGTATTATAACTTATTATTAAAAATAGTCCTGTGAATCACAACCCAAAACAAATACTCAAATTGGTATTAGCATTAACAAAAATTAAGTCTTTGGTGTGTCTATGGTAAAAATTCAAGGTAATCATGACCGATTCAATGATTCTAATTATTAAAACAATATGCAATTAAATATCGTAAAATTATGGCGATATTTTCAGACCCGTTCTTTTTTATCACAACCCACCTAATTTTATTTATACGAACTAAAATGTAAACATTTTGTAAGGCAATAAATGAAATTAGTTAAAAAGCGAAGGAAAATTGTAATGGCGACCGCTTTAAAAACCTGGTTTAATACATAATTTGAATAATTGATCAGTTTCAATGTCAAATGGCAAAGAAATGCACAAATGTTTGTACAGATTGGGAAATAAATAAGTGTCCTACTTGTAATCAACTTTCTCAAGAAAACTGCAAACAGATGTTCATATCGAATCAATTATAAATGTCGAAAAATCAACTAATTAACGTGCTCGGGAGATATTAATATTGAAAAGTTAATGAGGATAATTGAAAATGTATAATTTTAAACACAAAATTCGTTCAAGGACGAATTCGCTATAAAGCATTTGTTAAATGGCAAATATTTACTGAAAATTCCAACAGTTAAATGTATCATTACTTAAATCGGCCATTCAAACTATCAATCTGCATTTGTGCGAAATGTAAATGTGATTTTTCTGTGTCAAACGAATAGAATCGAGAGAATTTACCTTAAATAAGTGGTACTCCATGAAAGCGCAATCACATGACGTCACTTTTAAAATAACGCCAAAATAAAGAGGTAACAAGTAAAGATGTTAACTGCAAACAAAACCTTTAAAAACAATAAACTCAAATAAACCACCCACTTATTATGTTTCTGTCATAGTTCATTTCAAACTCTCATCAAGGAGCAACACAAAAATTTAATCAAAGATGTCTAATGTTTGGGCTGTCAGCTGTTCCCCACCAATCCCCTCCATTAATTCAATGATAAACACGCTGGGATTGGTCGATTTCCTAAATTGTTATGTTTCTTTCTCGTCGCCTTGCCCTTGTGACATAAATTCGGAAATGGCCTAACGCAAAATTCATTAGTTTTTCCATTTTTCAGATTAAATAAATTCACCTTTAATTTACGCCGTCCACCGTGCCATTTAAAAATTCCGCGTTTTTAATTCAACTAAAAACGAAAAATAAATCAACATTGCGTTCGCTCGAATCGGAGTAGGCGTGTCCATATTTGACAATTCGACTATTTTCATTCTATTCGATTTTAATGGAGGTTCTTTGGAATTTTTCAGCTGATTGTCAATTTTTATCAATTAAAACCACCGATTTCTCGCGACTCCTCAAAGAGAGTCGCTGAAAATCGGGCAATAGTAGGCGCCTGTTAAATCGATTGAGACGTACAAGAGGACATATTTGCATTTTATGAATAATGCTAAAACAGATCATTATTTTGTATTTATAAACAGATACATAATGTGACCTACCAAGGTCATGGCACACTGAAGGTATAATCTCCATTTCTCCAAAGCAACATCTAAATTGAGTTGTGTAATGAATGTTGCCTATATACAAGGATTTCCACGGTAAAAAAGTCAAGAGGAGTTCCTGAAGAGTTACGAAACTGAAAATTTAGGAGTAAAGTCAAGGTTGTGAATAGATGTCAATTTCGTTATTCTAAATGGAAAGTACCATTTTTGGATTTTGTGGCCCTTTTTAACAGGACTTTGATAATAACACGATAATAACAATTTTCTACCATGTCTCTGCTATTAAAGCACCTCGAAGTTTGAAATTTGGTATCGATAATGTCCAAACACAGTACTAAATGAAACTAAACTGGGTTTTCATATTTCACAGGGCATTTAAAATTGTCTGACAAACTTGGCTAACTTAAAATGACCATAACTTTGTTATATCAAACGAATCACCCTGTATTTTTAGACATTGGCAATGGATATTTTTAAGCCCTTTCGATCCATATGGGTATTCCCTATACCCAAATCCAGTCGTTTCTGAAATATTCAAACTTGTGTTAATAATGATGATGATATCTTTTCTCTAGCTAGAGTTATCAAGATGGCTATTCGAAGCCTTTAATATCTCATTAGAATGTAGCAATAGTTCATGTTTTTTTTTAAAGACGTTATGAACTCGTATAGTATAATACAATTAGGTGGATTATATTTATTAACACTATTTTCTAAATACAACTCTTTACATCAATTTAAGTAGTAGTTTCTTCATTAGACTCAACTTTTTTCGTCTTGTCTGAAGTAAGAGTAGCTTTAGCTTCATCATTAGCATTAGCCTCAACTTGCCTAGTTTTGTCTCCGTTGTCTTTGAGATTGGCCGTAACTTTCGCAGCTATTTCTTTGTACTTTTCGGACCTGTAGGCCCGTCTGGCCTCGTCCAAAAGGACGTTGTGCAACAGGCTTCGGTCGGAGTGGAAATCTTTCACGAGAGACGGGTACGGGTTGCCTCTCAGTTCTAAGACGGCTTTGCAGTGTTTCTCTCCAGGGTAGGGCCTCGGTGCGTTGAGTAATCTCGTGTAAGAGATCGTGTAATTTTCGTATCTGGGCACAAGCACTTTGAATAACTTATGGATTAGTTGTTTCTCTATAAGCCAGTAGTCCGCCATTTCCATCGTGGATTTGTGGCAATCTCCGTATCTAATGGCATCGGATATTAACTGGAAACGCGCAATCATTGGGATTTGTTACATTATTTAATTTCATTTTACTTACCCGCTCTGCGTACATTCTGGACTCATCAGCTCTTGGATAATTGAGTTCTATTCTTTCGTGCTTAATCAGTGCTGTAACAGTTTTTCTTAGTTTATTTAACCTTTCCTCTGGACCTAGTGGATTCCTAAATTTCCTTAATCGCTTTACTGAGACTCTCAGTTGAGACATTAATTTATTCACTTCGGCTTGATTCATATTGGAAATATATTTAACAATTATTTAGTCTTATTATTGGGTATGAAAAATAATCATTCGTATTTTAGGTTAAGTAGGTTATAACTTGATTTCTTCTTTTTTAAATTTGATATATATGGACTTTTACGAGAGAGGTTTCTGGTAACTCAAATTCGGGAAAACTCGATGAAAAACTTTTTATAATCCAATAAAGGAATATTTTCAAGTATTTTACCAATTGCTTATCATATTTTAGTTATCAAATAGACGAAAAATCGTTTAAAAACGAAAATTTATAGGTATTTATAGGAAAATGTATAGGTGTAAAAGGACACTTCTGTTTTCCGGATTGTTAACTGGCAAATTAAATAAGCACGTGCGTTGAACATCTGGGTCCTACTTTTATAAATCTGTGTCCCTGGGGATCGCAGGAAAATATCGAGGAAAACGTCCCGAATTTTAGAGACACTTCTAAATATGCATTTAGATAGGAAGTTTAGGAATTTTTCAACATAAATATGTATACTTGTATATTACCAAAAAATAAAAATGAAAATATTAGCTTTAAGTAGGCATAAATATGTAGATTGTAGACTTCATATCCATTATAGTGGAACTTCTCATGTATACAAATTAATAACCTGCTCATGCGGTAAGTTCTGATGCAGATTTTTCACGTGATCTGGAGGTGAATTTTTACTTACAGTCCATTAAGTTATTTAATTCTTTATCCAGCAAATTTTCACTAAGGTCCTAAATAATTTAGATACCTACCACGAATATTTAAATTAATATTTTATTCCATACATTTATTAAAACATTTACAACATTTAATCCTCCATCAGCAATATATACTAATAAAATTATACAAATACATATTAAAATCTATGACTAGAAATGATAGACTAGATAAATAAAATGTAAAAAAGTAATTATGCCATCTTTCACGGCATAATAAAAAGTATTGTATAAAGATCCAAAGCTGTTATCTGCTACAATTTTAGTTTAAACGTCGAGCACATGGTTCAAATAAGCAATATAACAAATAGCCAATCTTAAAATCTCAATTTTGGATAATTTTTTATCCGGTGGTAAAGTCGGTAATAATTTTCTAAGTTCCGCAAAAGCCACGTTGAAAGCCTCCACCCTTATTCGCTCTCTCGTCGCGTGTGCTGTGCGATATTTTTGAGTGGCCCTTCGACGACGCCTTCTTTCTTCGCGAGTTAAGGATGCCATCTCATTACTTCGTTCTCTGGAAGAAAATTACTCATAGAAGACTTCTATCAATCTAATACCACAATAATACTACTCAAAAAATGCGTCAAATTGACTTAATTTTTCCTTAAAAAATCTAATGTTTATTTTTTAATGTTTCATGTATCTTCTTGTATTTTATTTTTAGCTCGACCTTGATTCAAATGCAGATAAGCATTAATCTTTTTTATTATTATCGATATGATAAATATTGGGAAGTTAATGTGATTTCTGAAGACCTATTTTTTTAATATTGTTGTCGACATGCTATGGCGTGATAAACATCAGCATAGATATACTAAAAGTTTAAAATTCGGAGCAAGGTGAATTTTGGGGTAGAAAATATTTATACAAGATATTCATTTTTATAGATACCAGATGTCCCATTATTCCTTGAGCTACATCTACATAATTTCTATATCAAAGTGACCTGTTCACCCGTGAGATGAGTTCAAAGTTAAATGAAACTTTATCCGTTGAAGTAATTCTAATATCGACTTAATAATAAATAATAATAAATCCAATTAAGCACGTCAAATTATGGTAATGCAGGTTTTGATTTGCACGAATTGCATGTGCAAAAACAATACACGAACAATGAAATAGTAAACATTGAAATTGTCTTGAACGTATTCCGAGCATGCTATAGGTAATTTCTAGACGTTCCACGTTATACTATTTAATTTTTTTAAAAGTAAATAATCATTACCTTTTTTTAGGCACTACGTTATTACACGCAGTAATAGTTTGAAGAACTTCCCGATTTTCAAAATTCATGGCATTCTTGCAGATGGCTGAAGTGCTACACCACTCTTGAGGGTCTCTAATTTTTACTAGAACAAGTAACTACAGGTTTAAATTAATACCATTAAATTTGTCGAACAAAGTAGAAGAAGAAATTTAGCTTATTTGTGAAGATGAACCTTCACCTTCAACGATCAATATCGCAACAATATAAAATTCTTATTATAGGTACATCAAAAATCATATCTACTAAATATTCACCCTTTCCCGTTTTGCGTCGAAAGATTTCCCAAACAAGCCAATATTTTCATAAACTATGACACATCTATCACTATTTGTTCAATAATTTACGCGAATGGAAAAGGGAAAAGCGAGCATTCCTCAGAATTGGGATTTGAGTGGAATGTCCCAAAGGAGCAATGCAGGACCATGGGGATTTCGTTCATTGCACGTGGCTTTAGTTATCACCCTTGAATTATCCCGTTATCAATCAAACAAACGCTTTTGTAATAAGATTAATTTCGCATGCTCGATGGGAACCGCCCGACCAAAAAATCGGCGTGATTATTATATTAACGTGTGGCATACATAAAGAGTTTATTATGTTTATGAACAATCTCCTTCGTTTGCGGTGTACATATTTTATAAAGATGTTATATTTTTTGTAGTTTATAGTTATGGGTAAATTGTTTGTGGATTTGATTTAAAAATGATTAGATAACACTTCTCGGATTCAATGCTTTAATTCTGTGTCTTCATATTTCTTTATTAAGTTAAAAATATTATCTAATGTTTCTTTAAATACATTGTTTTAAATATTGCTGAGCACTGAATAAATTAATAATAAATTAAATAGCACTAATTAATTCAGAAAGATGTATAAATTATCTTTAAAATGGATTCAAAAAGTTGCATTTTCTAATAAAACTAATAACAATTTATTTTCAATTTTGGATTTTGATAATTCAGATTAAAAAATAATAAATTAATACACACCTTTTGTGTTGAAATTTTGAAAATACCGGTCGTTTGGGCTCACAACATTCGAGGGATAAACATGAACTAAACGAGATCCGCATCCCTTGGTAACAGCCCCAGCATCCTTTTTCCGGAAGGACCACCCCAGGACCAATCAGATCCTCGACACAGGTTAGCAACGCCTCTGGTCGATAGTCTGCTCTTGTAAAAAGGATTTATTTTTCAAAGAAATTGCAAACTGATCTTAATCTTCCAAAGAAAAATACGAAATCTAATTTACCGATTATCCAGAACATATTTCATGTACCTACTAAGTATCCGGATGTGAGTAAAATTAGTATAGAAACGGATATTGTGGGAACAGCACATCTATTTGAATGATATATATTTGAATACAATATTATTCTAGTGATTGTATTACAAACACTATTATTATCAGTTCCAGAAGAATTGCAGAAGAACAAGAAAAAATTCTCATTGCTTGATTACTATTTGCACGAATTAGACTAGAAATCGTCAATAAAATTGTAAATACATTTCAGCATGACTGATTATAAATCTTAAGAATTTGATAAAATGTATGATTTAAATCGGACAAATTCGAGGACTGCTTCACTTTGCGCCAAGTGCCAACCACATTCCTTTCCTTTTGTCCTTTTCAGCGAATCGTTGTCTAGGAAATGGGTCTATTTACCTTAGAAACCACCAAGTTCAACGGTATATCCGTATTAGATAAAAATAAATTTCCTCTTAATCAATATTCGCATAAATAAAGAAATAAAATACTCAAAATATGTGCTTTAATGCTTGCGCATGTGAGTGTGTTGTGAGATAATTCTGCAGACGAAATGGCATACAACTACAATGCAAATCAGGTAGGAATCGAATGGTTTTATTAATAAATATCTAACAATAAGGAATTTCTCTTGCAAAAATTTTTTTGCAATATTTTTAGGTAAGCACTAAAGTAATTTTTTCATGAAGTACATATTACCAAACAAAATTAAAAAAGAAGTAACTTTATTCATAAATCTCATTTTTAAACACATTTATCACATTTAACAAACTATTTACTAAAAATGACCATTGTTATTCACACCTTCTCGTAAATAATTCAAGAAAAACATACATACGCTAACACTTTCATCTACCTAATCAGGTAACCACACAATTTTCATCTACTGATTATAATTTCGAGAAACACCAACATTCCTGTGTAAAGCCTTAGCTTGCACAGGCTCCCTTCGTACAACAGCACTAAATCCATTAATCGGATCAGCCGTATACTCCACAGTGCGTTTGTGCCCATCAGGATCTACCACCGAATAACTCCCTTGCACGAAATTCCCCTGCCTTTGCTCGTTCTGGCTCTTGCTGTCCCCCGTTTGGGCATCATCTATATCGTACCCGTATTCGTATTGAGGATTCGCGTCGTACTCTTCTTTCTTAACGTACTTCACTTTCTTCACTACCGCCGCAGGTTGTACTGCTACAGGAGCTACCGGTGGCGCCGCAGCAGCGTACTGCACTTGCAGCGGTCGAAGCTGAAATTGAAGAGGAGATTTTGCTTCGACTTGGACCTGTTGATTTACTGCTAGCGGAGCCGCCGGTTGCTCCGGAGGAGCGTACTGCACTTGCAGCGGTCGAAGAAGAAATTGAAGAGGAGATTTAGCTTCATCTTGGACATGTTGATTTACTGCTACCGGAGCCGCCGGTTGCTCCGCAGGAGCGTACTGCACTTGCAGCGGTCGAAGCTGGAATTGAAGCGGGGATGCTTGAACGGGGTTAGCTTCAACTTGGACCGATGGATTGTACTCGGCTTCTTTAGCCACTATTTGAAAAGGGGTTTGAATAGGAGCGGGTTGCTTCGCTAAAAGTTGTAGAGGAGCTGGTGGAGCTGCTTTATCGGCTAAGTGTACCGGATGAGGTGCGAACTGTATCGGTATCGCTCTGATGTGGAAAGCTGGTTGTGCTTGAGCAGGCGCTTCCGCTATCGAATTGAACTGTATCGGAGAAAATTGGAATTGAGGTGGAGCGTAAGCCAGCGCATTGGGATTGTACTGTTGTTGATGTTCGAATGCTGTTGTGTAGCGAATTCCTTGCAGAGAATTTGCAGTTGGAGCCGCAGGAATCGCCGTTACTGTAATTTGTATGTTGGTTGGTTGATTGGAGTTAACTGGTACTTGAAATGATGGAACATCGCCTGCTCTGGCTGCTGTTATCAATAAACAGAGTAATGATATCTGAAATAAATAAAAATAATCTTAAGAAACTTAAGTAAGTTTTAATTAAATTAAAATTGGTACACACTTTATACATTTTGCGTTAATAGTAGCGACAGATTAGATAAGTAAAATCTTACAGTGAAATATTAATTGTGATAATTACATTAAGAATCAATGAAATGATAGGTACCTTGTACGCCATACCGCTCATTCGTGCACCACTTTAATAATGGCAAAACTGAAGATCAATATACCATTTATACGGATTTTAAAAAGTAGAACATCCATAAATTTTGGTAGCAGTCGCACCTCTAACACTATACATCGAATTAGGAAGAGAAGTGCCGCGACAAAAAGTCTAGATTTACATAACTATTTATATAACTCCGTGATTAATCAATGCGGCTCATCAAAAATTATTTGGATATGCGATTAGGTGTCTGATTTCTATTAAATGTATCTATCGATTATGTATTTACCGGTAGTAGATGCTTCCAATTATAGATAGGGAGCCAGCTGGAGTTTAAGGTAAGTCGATGTTGTGATATTTAAAAGATAATTAACTGTGTATTTATTAATGAGGAATAATTTTATTTTAGATTGTTAGATAAATTTCTCTAAAACTTGCGTATAATATACTTTGTATTTTTGCTTTATAAATGCATGCAATGATTAGCTCACGGACTAAAAGCTTTAAATAATTTCGCTCGTTTTTTTGCTTGATATTATTTAATAAGGCGATTTAATATCTTTTTTAAATCTCGTAATAGCATCTGAAGATGATCCATATATCATCAAACAAGTTTTATTAGATATTATGAAATTTTTCGTGTGTGAATTTCTAATTTGTTCTGTAATTTAAGCAAGTCTTCCCACGTTTTTTTAAGTAAATTATGCCGAAAAATAAATGTTAACGTAAGATTTCCCACAATTTGATCCATATAACTAACAATTATTTTTCGATTACCTGATTTTATTATACGCTTTTATTTTTAATTAATGTGAAAAACTTCCCTTTTATTTCGGTTTTATAAAATATTCGGGCAAACAAAAGGTAACAAAAGTTTAAGGACGAAAGAAAGCAAAAGGCTGTCACAGGCATTTATAAAATTCCATCAATATCATTCGCTATTATAGCGTGAATGCAAACCAGTAACCCAATTGGATTCTAGAATATATTATTATGATAGAAATAGCTAAAATGTTAAAATCAATCATTTCCCTGCTATAGAAACACGAGCGTAGTTTTAAAATATGATATAAATCTACAAAGTTGGATAAGAATTTTATTTTTGAGCATATTTGGGTTGTTTATATTTTTTAAATCTCTGTAAAGATACATTTTACTTTTCAGTAGGTAATGTTAAAAAAATAAGAATTAAATCCCTAAATTTGATTGTTTTTAAAGTATTTTATCGATCAATTTTTAAGTTCATTACTAATATTACAATATTTGGTTACTTTTGGACAAATAATCCATCATATCAATTTCTGCAAAAATGATGCAAAAAAATTCCATCCCTTTGATACGATACTGAATCGAATTTCATTCTATCTACATCTACGAAGGCATATAGTTCGCGTTATCAGTCCTCGTCCTCAGTTTTTCTTCGCCATTCAAAGAGTTAATAACGGAGCAGGAGGACACGCGGCTCGATAAAGAAAGGAAAAAGTCGGGACCCACCGCAAACTGTCACTGTGGTTTTTAATCAATCACCTATTCCTCATTTGACCGCCGTCGCAACGGAACCGAAGACGCCTTGACAAAGGGCGCGAGTTTGTTGTTTTTCAGGCGACAGGTTGCCTTAACGAAGGGTTAGTATTATTTGCATGTGCACCTATTGTTTCGTTGAGGTCCATTTTATTTCTGTCCAGTTGTTTGAGCTTTATTTTTTTTGTACACACACGGCTAGTTGCATAGCAAGCGCACGAATACATGCCCCGGGGCAACTGTAGTGATATTCTTGAATGAAATATTTGTGGAAAATCCGTACGATTTGTGTACAACTTGATAAATGTACGTGTTATGATTTAGTTTTGTAAGGCATATGCCAAATCCCCTAAATACTTTGTTCGCGTATGTCGCGAAGTAACAAAAACAAATATGACAGGAGTAATGCCCGATGATAAATATCGTCGGGATTAAAGAAATGTAAACAGCAATCGAAAAAACGACGCCTTTGTAGATATCCTAGCCGGTAGTTCGACTGCAGTCCATGAGGGTATCAATTTTTTAGGTGGTCACGAGGGGTTGGATAACACGTGTGAAATTCAATTGTGTGAGGGTGTCATTACAAGATAGAGCGCCATTCTACCCCAACGAATTCGCGTCGAAATCATTAAGTGAGGAGTAATCGAATTTGAAATAGATAGAAACGAAACGAGGGTTATTTTCTGCTTGTTACTTCTTTCAGGCTATTAACGAGAGATTAAATTTATTCCTCTTATATTTCATTAAAATTTACTATGGTTTAGGTTTACTTATGGTTTTAGAACGAGTTTAATATAGTTACTCTACAGATAGACTAGACTAAATAATTAAATTTTCTATAAAAATGTGAATGTCACCTAAAAATTACGAACTGGTTAAGAATCTATTTCTAAACGAGTCGAGTTAAATTAAGGGTAAATTGTAATTGGGCGTGTTATAGAACATCCCCTCGTTGTTAAAGTGTCTAGTGGTATTTAAGGGATTATCTCTATGTGATTTGTAGCCCAGTGCCCCCTAACGACATCAATTTTAACAGGTGTTTCGAATGTAAAAACTGCATCATGTAGATAAAAGGATTTATTCTTATTTCTGTTTCAATATGGACTTGAAATTTGTGAAGAAATACTCAAAAGTAACTCAAGGCTTCTTATGTTACCTTATCTGAAAATTACTAAATTTCTTAATGAAATAAATGAATTTATTACATTTAGGAAATTATTTCAGGGGTTCTCTACTATCTATAAAGCGACAATATTTATAAAAAATAACTGTTGAAAGTAAAAATTGTTTAAATTTTAATCCTATATGAAGCTTTATTTCAACTGGACAGGACCGGAAAGAGCAACGTTCAAATAACAGTGGTTTTAATGAGATTTTTTTGTTTAGTATGAATCGTCATTCAAACCGAAAGTACTGGGGAACTGGCAAGTACCGAAATTAAATATTAGCCGGCCCAAATCAAAAAAAGGAAATACAAAAGCGATAGCGGATGAGAGAGGCCATTTATTGCCAAATATAAAAAGATCTAACGGTAATCCATGGGGAAATTATATTGATACTTGGCATCTTCCAAAGAAAATCGACAAGAAAACAGGTAAAGTACTTTTTATTCATTTTCAAATTCTATTTCTCCCTTTTATTTGTTTTATTGCAGCATACCAAATTAATGGTTTAATACAGAACACCCAAACATCAGGATACAATCAGTATAATGAATCACATGCCACGCAAAATCCAGAAGAAGCACCAAACAATGAAGAGGTATTACTTTCACCACAATATCAATCACTTCTTGGTTATACACATTTAAAATTTTCTAGGAAAATAACAAAGAAAATGACGAAACCAACAGCATGCCTCAGCCTTACGTACCGGGCGATTTCACTGAGAGAAAGTACCAGCACCCGAGCTACGAAGAATTAGCCGCCAATCGTTTTCCCTCGGCGAAGCCCCTTCCCAATGGTTTCCCTCGAACTCGAGAGGACTTTTCTCGCCACACGGAACCGGAGAGGAACCTCACCAAGGAAGTAAACGATTTCTACGACACGCACAAACAAATGCTCCAGGCCGAGCCGCCCGAAAAGCCTTCAGAACCGAAGAAAGAGCGGTTCTTGTCGCCCCTTATCAACGCCATCAGCAACTTCACAATGGCGAAGAAACTCCACCGAGAAAATCTCGAGCACTACCCTCTACCAGACACTTTAACCGACGCTATGTACAGAAAAATGTTGCTGGAACGCCAGAGCAAAGGCGAGGAAGATGTCCATTATGCTACAGGTAAAACATCAGGCATCTAATCTATTTGAATTAATATCATTCACGTGAACAGGTATAGGGTGGAAAGGCTACCCGGGCTACGGACCCACTCGATGCACGAAACTCAAAATCTTCCGCCCGAAAACGTCCATCTCGCCCAAAGACGAGCCCGTCTCGAGCTTCGACAGGAAATGGCGCTTCATCCGCCAGGCGAAAGTCAGCCCCATGGACTTGGCGATTTGCTGGGACCTGAAGCCCCAGGACCCGAACGACGAGCCGGAGAAGGCGAAGCACGTCGACGGCTCGAACGGCTCTGCCGCTCCGGCCGTTTTCAACCTGGTGCATTCGCCGAAGCAGGAGGAAGCCGAGCACAAATGCGATGGAGTTCACGTGTGCGGGCCCGTGTTCGATCACAGCGACAAAGGCAACGAGGACAAGGAGTACTTCTTCCACAGGAGCAAGAAGGCGCCGAGGAGCGCGGCTGGTAGCAGCAGCTGCTCCGATCAATCTAAGAGACGAGCCAAGAGCGCTTTGGGGGACGGGGAGAAACTGTCGAGTTGCTCTAAAGAGAGCTTTATCAGTGCGAAATCTAGAGCGAAAAGTGCTAGTAACTCCAACGATATTGAAGGAAGAATTCCGGAGATATCTAAAGAGGTGATCGATAAAAATATGTATCGGAGCACGCCGAATTTAAGCGAGTGCGGCGGAAAGTACTGCAAAAAATACGCGAAAATGGGCTGTAAAAGTTGCGTGGCATGTGAAATGAAAGACATTCGTCCGGTAGAGAAACGTCCTAAAAGTGAATATAAGATGGCCTTCAAAGCGGGCGTTCCACAGCAGAAAACAGTAAGTAAACCTAGCTGCAACCTCAAAGTTCCTAAACCTAAAGTTCCATACATGGTCAAGAATTATGTAATAGATAGTTTAGGGGGACCTTTTTGTTTGCAGAAGAAGAAGAGAGACGATTATCCAGAACACTGGAGATTAGCTACTGTTTACCAACATTCTTATAAACCCATTTATGCTAGGAAAAGACCCTTAATGCACACAGTTTTTAAATAATCTTTTATTATTAACTGAATGATAAATGTTTATTTAATATGAATAATTTTAAAAGAATCGTTTTTAGTAAGGTTGGTAGTAAATCAGGGCAGTTATGTAGTGATATGTATAAATATTTTACAAATTTACATTTTTCACCTTCTTTTCAGGAAATTAAATTCTTATAACTACACTTATTAGTAAATAATTGTTTCTTAAGTTAGGAGCAGAAGCTTGATGTCTTAATAGAGATTTCCAAAAAATATAATATTTATTTATTTATTTATTTATTTATTATTAAGTCAGGGTATAAACATAATATACAAATTGAAACTTTGTGAACGAAAATTAATGATGTTGAAAATGTAGATTTTTTTGAATCTTCAATTTGAAGAAAGTGCTTGTAATTAAATTACTAACTAAAACAGTATTAAACCTTTTTGTTTATATTGAATGATTTTGCTTTAGCCTTCACTAAGGCATCAATTTGGTATATTCGACAAAGAAAGAACTTTTCTTCACTGTATCCCAAACTTTCGCGCAATAAAGTAGCCACGTTCTCTCGGTCAGCTGGACGTGGGTCAAGGAATTTCGACTAGATCCGAGAATGTTAGCTCTCAGTTTACGAACGATTTCTTCTAACGGCGGATGCCCCTTGTAAATATCATCTAAAAATATATTTGATGATATAAAAGGGCGTGTAATAGTGAATACGTTACTTACTAAAATTGATATCAACTTCTGGAATGAGAAATAAATTTATGTAGCTCCCGCATGTTTCGGAATTCAAGTAGCTTATCAGTCTTCCATTCCCTAATCCTAGGTTTGATTTGATGTTTAGTTTAGATTTATGAAAAAGCGTTTTGTAAACCTACAAAATATTGTAACATTATCTACGTAATAGATGTTTCACACAAACTTACATCTTGCATTGTCTTGAATTTCGCTGGGGAAAAATCTTCCATTGTTGCTCGGTTGTGGATAAACATTACATGAGGAAAGTAATCTACTGTTTCATCTTCGGGGTTCGGAATAGTCGGCTTTAGCATTTCCGATGTATGTAAAAATCTAATAAAAATTGATTCAAAATTATTTGTACTGTAATATAATTGTTTTAATTTAAATACCTTAATACATTGCTATCCAAAAACCAGTCTTGAACTACCAAGAGTACATGACAAACTGACATTAGGAATGCAGTAAGTTGTAAACCTTGAATTTCTCCACTGTTTTCCAATGGAATAAATTCGCTTACTAAACTAGTTCGCTTTGTTTCGCTCTTAATTAATTCTTCTAATACTGAGACAGAGGCAAAAGGTTGACAGTCCAAAAGCATAAGCTAAAAGAAGTATATAAAAAACTAATATACAATTCATTAATGTTCCTACCCTATTTTGCGTAATAAAAATATCAATTCCTTGTGTCCTATTAAAACCCCTTTCGATATCCTCCAGAGTCTCTATCCTAAACACTTCCTTTTTTATCCTATCCTCAACCTTTATATCCATCTTCTCTAAGTGATTCGTCAAAATTTTAATGTCGCTGTTATGATCGTTTGAGTTTTTCTCCATTTTAAATATGTCTTTTTTTATATCGTCCGTTAATGTACTGTGACTGAGAAGGTTCAAGATCGTGGATTTACCCACACCATGCGCCCCAACGACTCCGACTATAAGGAATTCGTTGTTTTCGTTTACGTAATCCTGTAATGACTCCGTGCAAAGTATCCCCTCGTCTATGAGCTTCATGGATTTCGTCATGTGTTTCAAATTTGGCGGTGTGTTAACTGGAAGAATATGAATTAGATTATCTGTATATTTAAGGGTAATAAACTGCTATACCGTCATCTTTAGCTGGTTGGATGAGTGTTATATTATGTTCTTCCTTTTGATTACGCTTCGGTGAGGCGCTCAAGTCTTCTGAATTTGATTCCCTAGCTTTTAGTAATATTGTGGGTTGTTTCCTGGGTGGATCTAAAATGTTTCATTATTATATATGTTGAATAATTTAGTTTAAAGTTTGTTATATTACCAGTTTCACTCCTTGAACCGGAATAAGTTCGTCCTTCCGCCTTTCCATGGCTTATTGGGTCCTGTAAATAATCAGGGTTGTAATAATTATCATTATAACGATTCGAAACATTACCTTTACTTTGGTAGCAAAGAATCGGTTCTTTGAAAATACTTTCTTTCTATCAAAATCAGACATTTCTTTAGTTTATAACCTAAAATAATTGTACTGTCAATGTCATTTTAGCTATTATTTTTTAAGTTTCTTCTTTTTTATAAGTTTAAAGGCCTTTTGCTTCAAAGGATTAGCCAAGGAATAAAATAAAAAAATAAAATAATACAGGTGGATGCAAAACAGCATGCTTGCCAAAAGTGTTGCCTAAAATAGAGGCTAAGGGCAACAAAGACAACTTTCATTAGTCTCGTATAGAGGAAAATTAAAGTGATATATACAACAAATATTATTACAATAATCTTTCTTTGTTAAACACATAGGATTGACCACTTGCAGACACATTAGAACATGCCCATAAAAATATATTCTTTCCAAAAAATATTATTTCATTATAAAAATTCAAAAACACTTAAATTTTAATACAACACTACTTGTATCAAATTAAATCATTTTACAACTTTATTATCTCTGTTCATAACAATGTAACAGCGTTGTAATATATCATGTAACTCAAACATAACTTTTAAAAATATTTGAATAGTAAAATAAAAGCAAAAATTCTTACAGAAAAAAACATTGTGAACAAACGATTAAGCAAAATACAGTAAATTTAACAAAATTTACTAAGTTAATAGTAAATTAAAAAACTTATGATCTTCTTCCTCTTCCCAAAGCAGGATAACGTCTCGGATCCCTGAGAGCTCCGACTGGATTGTCACCTTCGTTAAAATTACTAGAAGATTGGTGTATGTTTAAATTGGAAAATTTCTGTGGAACAGAACTATTTGCAGGTTCCCTGCCCCATTTCGATGAACCAGTTGCCCCTGCGTAACTTCTAGAAGAAGACTGGCTCATATTGGATTCCTGCGACATTGAATAATAAGGTTGGGAATTAGAAGACGCGCTCTTCGGATTGAACCCCAACCCAGGGAAATTGTCATTAGTCAAGCTGAATTCGGACGTTTCTGACATCTCCGATCGACTGTCCCATTCGGATTTGACGGAGAACGAAACCAGAGTTTCCGAATCATCATCATGAATCGAAGGCTGGAATTTGGAGGATCTCGAAGAAACCGTACTGGCCCTACTGGAGGCTCTAGATGAAGCAGGCGTCATGGCTCCATCGGGTACGTGAGTTCCTTGATTTAAAACGATGTTTAAGTGCTTGCAGCAGTTGTTACAAATCACGAACGCGCTTCTGATCACTATGGAACGGCTACAATAAGTATAAACGTTATTCCTTTCGTGAAAATCGCAGACGATGCCTCTGGCGTATACGTATGGATCTTTCTCGAGTTCTCTGGCGCTCATCGTTCCGTTAGGCCAAACCGTGTCATTGGCAGCGAAGTTTTTCAGCTCCATGAATAGGTATTGGAGATTAAACACTTTGAAACGGCAGTCGTCTTCGAAATCTTCGCACCAGGTGTCTAATATTTTTTGAGCCATTTTCGCTAGCTTCTCGTCAGCGTATAAAACGGGAACTGTTTTACCCGGTAATTTCGAGAATAAAAATTGTTTCATGTCATGAAACACCTCAGCTGTGGTGTCGTCACAGTCGTCGACTAGAGGATATGGTATATGATGTGTTTCATCGGATATCAGCTTAGCAGTTCCTGTATATCCCAAGGGAAGAGGTCCGGGTTTGATGATATGATGGAAAACGTTTTGTGGATGGACTCCATCCTCAAGACTAAAGCAGGCTATAGCTATTTCGGCGGGATAGTACCGACCTTGAGCCTCGCAGAAAATATTAACATGTATGATAAAGAAGAGCTTGTCTTGGAGCTGGCCCGAATCGTTGGCCATTTTTAAATCGCAATTGATTTTTTCCTGCATCTCTTGGATTCTCATTTGTTCTTCACGTTCTCTTCTCTCTATGTCATCTATATTTTCGCCAGTCGTGGTGTATCTGACGCCGGATCTTTCTTTTCTTGCACGATCTTCGTAAGGTTGTCTTTGCTCCGGCGACATTTTAGACCAATGAGGGCCTGCTGCTTCAGAAACCTCTTTTAAATTTTTAAACTTGCGGCCCTGTGTTTTCTGGAAATCGAGCATGAAGTAGAAAAATGCATTTTTCGGGGCTTCTTTTCTTTTGGGCGCCATTTTAACAAATCAAGCGGTTTGCGATTTCTGGGAATAAATTTAAAAAATTTTATTTATATGTATGTTTTAAGTTTTAAATAGGATGAAATTCCGTTGGAAGATGGTAATGATAACAATACTCACCCTTAAATTCAAAATTTAATAACGAAACTTTTAAACATTGAAATGTGGAATGTTAATGCTGAATGCACATATTAGTTCTGATATTCTGATAAAAAAAATGCAAATGTAGACTAATTATACTTTCTCAGTACCCAAAAAGTAGAACCTATAAATTTTTATTAGTGGCTTTTTTTTTCTTCAATTCTTCTCTAACGCGTCCCTTTCATAAAACTGGCCTTTGTTAATGAAACAATTCGGTTCAATTTATTTTCACCTTTTTCGTAGAAAATTCGAGGTCTCAGCTACCTTAGCTATTCGGTCATTATTATTTGTTTCTAATTTGTTAATAAACAATAACATGTCGCAGAGAAAGAATGAGCTAATATTTTGTTTACGATTGACATCTTTTATAATCATCTGGAAATTTCTTGTATATTATTTTATTTTACTGAAATTGTCCAGTAATTTTACATTGTATGCTTCATCCGTCAAAATTTGACATCGACGTTTCCTTGACTTTTACTGATATGCGGTGTGTACATAAAAGATAAAAAGCGTGGTCGTAGATGTTTTTCGTTTATAAAGATTTCGAGTTTTATTGGGAAAATGCCTTCCAATAAAAGAATCGCTTTCTGTTTGTCCGAAAAAAAATTCCACAAGTTAAATTGGCAAGAACTAGAGACTGTCTGTAAAAATTATGGCTTTGAAGTGTTCAAAGTGCGTAAATCAGTGTGTTTATATTCATTGTAAGTTGCTTTTGATACAATTACGAAACCGCTGCTCTTTTTTAGTTGAATCTAAATGAAAGTTTGGAATCTCAAGGACCATTTTGCGTGCTTGTCCACAAAATGACCGATATAATTGCTTCAGCAAATTTGGGTGATATTAGGGTAAGTTTTCCATTTTTGAACAATACAAGAATTTATTTACTTAATATTAATATTAATTACATTTATGTATTTACGACTTATTTTTGGATGATTTTTTATGTATCCTCCTTGTGTTCTTGTTTGATAAAATTAGTTTTATTAAAAATAGAGAACACCTTTTTGTGAATATATCTGCCTATATTAGTTGCTTTATCAGTAAGTCCTAAATAAGTATTTGTAAAAATAACAAATATTTTAACTGATAATTTGAAGGATTTTTATAAATTAAGAAATATACAAACTAAACTATTGATTAATAAATTATTGTTCCCAATAATATTATCTCAAAGTAACATGTTGCAATAATTATACATATTTTTGTTATTACTATTTCCAAATTTTTATGTTTGAAATAGATAAAAATTATGATATATTTTTAATTAAATGTAATAATAAACTTGTTATTTTTTTTCAGTGTGGTAAGATAATTCAGGAAGTCGAGAGATATATATCCCAAAATCCATCTCTCGTTGTGATAGATCCGCTACCGAATGTAAGGAAATTGATAGATAGGTGTAGTTGTTACAGTATTATTCATTCCACTAATTTATCTGCGCATAACGTTTTTACACCAAATTTTTGTACATTTAGAAGCAGTGATAGAGATTCCCTAAAGCAACAAATTAAAATGGCCAAAGTCACATATCCGTTTATATGCAAACCGTCTTTGGGTCACGGATCGAAGGCGCACGAAATGTCTATAATATTCAACGAGAAATCTTTATCTGATATACAAACACCTTGCGTAGCACAAAGTTTTATACAACATGATGCTGTTTTATTTAAAATATTTGTAGCGGGAGAGAAACATTGTTATGTGGAAAGGCCTTCGTTGAAAAATTTCCAGGCTTCTGATAGAGACACGATTTACTTCGTTAGTGGCGATGTCTCAAAGTCTGATTCGAAAAGTCGCCTTTGCGTTCTAGATCCTGAAGATACGTTAATAGAAAAGCCGAAACTTGATGACAAAGTGATCGAGATTATAGCTAATACATTAAGGAAGGCCTTCGGTATGGATCTCTTGGGGATAGATGTAGTTATTGATAAGTCTACCGGAAAGTACGCTATTATTGATGTAAACGCATATCCAGGTACTTTTATTACACTCATTGAATAATTCATTTTAATATGTTTGATTTTTGTTTAGGTTACGATGGCTTTCCGAATTTCTTTGAATCTCTACTCGAATGCATCTCCAAAAGGATCTCCTCGGATTTTACATAGGGCTTTAAACTTACTTCATACATTTTTCTACGGTTTAACTAACGATAATATGCAAAAATAACTTATTGAAAAGTAAAAAAAAACTGCCAAAAATTCATAACATTGCTCAAAGCAAATATGTTGTAATATAGTATTAATTTTTTATAGCCTGTTTATATTTATATTATTAAAGCTTGGAAAATGCAGAAGCTGTTTCATTTTTGTAATTTTATAGAATTAAAAACCGAATTAAAAATATGAATTTTGAATGACTTTGTGTCTCAACAAAAAGGAGTTTTTAGCCAATATATCATTACTGTCAATAAATCATCCTGTACAATTATTTTAGAAATAAATTAGTACTCGATTATGCACTATAAATATATTTTTTATGTCATGAGTTTTATTCACTCTAGAAGAATAATCTACTCATGCAAGGCTTTAGCAAAATAAACACCCCGTAAACAATGTAGGAAAGCTCCATTTGTTAAAATTCATCGCCCTAAGGGACTGTACGCGATTTAGTTTCGGTCAGTAAAAAAATGATCGATAATTTTCGAACGTCTCCCGGAGTCTCTGGGGATTTTGATAAAGACTGTAAAAAGTTATCGCAGTTCCGCAAACGGACGATGAAAAATTACGGTCATTGACAATTTCGTTCAATAGAGAACGACATTCGTTGTTAACATGTAATTATACTCAGTTCCTTGGAGGGTCAAGAGGGCCCTCGGGGCATCTATCCGGGAGATTTTCAAATTAAAAATAGCGTTATCTCTAGATTACCTAGGATAGAGGTTTTTTTTGGAAGATTGCCTCTGCAATTTTCATTGTAAAAATGTCGGAGATTCTCGTAAGGGCATGTATACCGATATTTTTTGAAGAATATTTTAAAAAAGGGATAAAATAACCATGAATCACGAACTAACATTCTGGACAGCGTACGGGTCGCCCGGCATTTCCAGAGTATCGAAGGAATATTTGATGGAATCGGGAAAATGGACGGTGATACTTCAAACAAGGCGCATTCATCCAATATTCACCGGAATTAGATGACCGTCGTTGTAGCGTTCTTTCTCTTTTGCGCGAAACATCACACACGAACACATTAGATCGGTCTCCGCGCCGTCACCGGCCCCGTTCCCGTTTCTGTTCCCGCTCCCGAAAAGAGAGAACTACTGTCCATTAACTTAATGCACTGTTCTAGTCTCTCTCCTGACTGATTAATATTGCATTTTCTTAGTGTTGGCCACCCTCGAGGTGGGTTCCCATATTCCCGTTTCGTAAGAAAAGGTAGCGATTTCTGACGCGAACAGCGGCGGATCACAACCTGTTCGAACCAATAATGATTTTATACCTAGAATAGGACGGTATTTTTAGAGCTTTTTACTTTTGGAGCAGTTTGGGAGAGTAATTAGTCTATTGTGGAATTTAGTTTTAAAATACTAGGTACCAACGGGGTGGTAAACTGGGTGCAGAAATATATTAGCTTAAAAGGGTATTTTTAAGGGTAAATTGTGCGCGAGAATATTTCAGGCAGAAAAGGGGATTATTTAAGTTCATTGCAAACTGAAAAATTGAAAATGTTTGCTGTGAATAACATTCTCAATGATCAAAATAATTATTTTTGATTATTTTCCGAGGACTCTGTGCCCAATTTAACTATAGGATGAAAATCTATGTAAAATCCCTTTTGCGTCCAATTTACATCCGTCCACAGAAAGGTGCCAAAAGTGGCAAAATGCCACATAAAACAATTTATAGTCTGTTTTTAAAGTGCTGACTGTAAATCATTTTTTGTAATAAGTATTCAATGAATCTTCATAAATTTTGGCACGTTTTATTTTTATAAAAAGAGCTTACGAACAAAAAAATTACAAAACCGCAACCCCCATAAATTTTTTAGAGGGGTCATACACATACACATTTCACCCTCCCCTTTTTTTGTTCTAGATTTAGGTTTTTTATGTCCTCCAATTTAATAAACATCAACATTTTGAATATTTTTCAAAAAATAAATATGCACATGCATTAATAACAGATCCACACAAAATGTTTCAATTTGTTTTCCATAAAAACCACTACACTTTTAACAGTAAAACACACTATAACTTATTAATAAAAAATTGAATTTTTACATGTAGTAAACGGTAATTTTTTCACAAGGTAAACACGCCAAACGCTCCGAAATATAGAGTTTCGGTTTGACGTGTACACGTCAAACGCAGGTAACCGGTAAAATGGGGGGGCTTGGGCCCCCTTTATACGAGCATATCCATGCGAATGCACGTCATAAACGATTATCCGGCCTCCGTATACGCCATGGCAAACAGGCTATTAATTTGTTTACTTGCAAACAAAGGAAATAGGTCCTATGCGAACAAAACGTGCCATTCTCATCGATTATTAATTTTACCTGGTCCATGTCAATAAACTAAACCGTTACTGAATTACCTAATTGGGATATCTCGTCCGCCGAGTTCAGATAATACGCGCATTGCACGGGCTAATTCAATAGAAAAGATAAGCTCATGCGAATTAAGTCCGTAATTAAATCCGATGCCGAACATCGCGTATAATGGAGCTTCGAGAAATTCGCAAATATGGTTCGTACTAGCCATTGTTTATGCAAAATTCCACTGTGATGGACGTATCCTCAAAATCGGATTTATTAACTAGTATTATTGGACTTATACAAAGCCTCATCTAGTATATACAGACCTTTGTAAACGGCTCTATGAAACTAAATATTATTGTAATTTCTTCATCTACATCAGTGGTACATAGAATATAAGGATTTTATTTACTTATACTGGGTGGTTTAGTTTGTTATTCACAGCTTCATAACATCTAATTTTTGCTAGTAAATATGATTATAAATATGTTGTAATTCGTTCAAGATGATAACATTTTTTAATATGAAACGCATAAATAGCATTTTTCTTTATTTATAACACATGTAGGTATTTATTTATTCTAATAGAAGAACCTCTAAAAAATCCTTAACAAATCAAACGCTATATTTATCTATACATATAATAATATCGCATCATTAAATCATTAGCCTGTATTTCTTTTTTAAATGAAAAAAAAATATCGGCCAAAAACGTGAAATCCCAATAACAGTTTCCGTTTAATTCGCAAGAAAATTAGAATGGAAATGCTGTTTATGTGACGTAAATTTAAGTCGAATAAAAATCGGCGACAAATTTAGAATTAATTGAGAAACGAATCTCCCAAGGAAATGAGAACCCTCAACCTCCGGGAAATATTGGTAAGGCCAGACAAACAATTCCAAATGTGGATTTTATACGTTTCATTCCAATTTTATATAAATGGAGTACTTTTATGAAACCATTGTGCGATTATTAGTGAATATTATATGCAGTACAATACACTTTTTCCATTTAATGCAAGTGTTAAAAGAGAAGTAGACATCGGAAGGAAAAAATGCAATGAAAAAAAAGTTGCCTTAAGGCGGGGACGCGTCGAGAACACGATTGAGAAACTACTTGTAGATGTCCGGCCGACGTGCCCTCGTGGGGAGCCTCCCGAGCCAAAGAGCATCTTCGGAGCGCCTTCAAATTCTCGCCTGAACCGACGTGACAGTCCTTTTCGCCTTCGCCTTTTGCCATTTCACTTTACTACCTTAAAATTTAAAACCTCTCTACAAATTGCCCCAGCGATATTCTACTAAACCTTATCAATTATTAAGCGTTTGATATATTATACGTTTTCATAACGACACACAAATTTAGTGTATGTTTTACATTTTTACGGATGCGCGACGGTTCGCGAAGAATTAAGCGTATTTTTAAGTTAAATTTATTATGGCCAATTTTTTTACTTTTTTCTTAATTTCCTATTTAAGAGCCTCTCATCTCGATTTAATTGCGTCTAAACACCAAAGTGATATATATTTATACACTTAACAGGAGAACACAGAAGTTCCATCTGAGAAAATTTGAATATTAATTGCTCGTTTTTTTATTAAGTAGACGGGGATCTTCGTAGGAGGGTAAAAGGATAATTTATTCATTAATCTTTGGTTGTTTATGAAGTAAATTATTCTTAATTTTTATACAATTTAGTTACATTTTGAATATGAAACGAAAACTTGCATAAGCGCCCCACGATAGAGAATGAAGAGACTTTTCAAACGATATATCACAGATTCTATACTACCCATTAGCATACTATATTACCGAAAATTTGACGTGTTTTGGGATTTTCTATAAATATCTACAGTAACCGAAGTAATGAATTTATTTCAGTTAAGTTCTCCGCACCTTTCCACCCTGTAGCTATTATTTTTTAAAGGTATGTAGGGAAAATACTAATGCACGCCAATTTAGTTTCTTTCTAACCTGAGGGAGTATAATTGAAAATAAAGAATCTCAACAACAAAATACACTCCTTGAGCTCTAATTAATCCGGAGCAACACTTAATTTCAAAAGTCCTAACAATGTCATACAGTGAATCTTAATTCCGAGTGCTCTGCTAAATTTATGAGAATTAATTAAATCTTAATTTTCCTCCGTTGGAAGAAAAGCGGCTTGAATTTTTTTAAATCAGAAAACGGGCGAATTTAAGCAACTAAATTGTGATATCTGTCGGGTATTTTGCGCTAATGGAAGAAAATTGTAGTTTTTAGGTATTTTTTCATATTGCATTCCAGCAATTTTTTTGTATAGTTAGAAGTTAGAAGTACTGTAAAGACATTATAGATAAATTCAAGGCATCTTAAATTTATTACGTTATAAATTCAACGCTTTAATCAAACGTCTCCGAACGCCAAATTCATCGCCGGCATCGAAACTATTTCTATAATTCCGCAGCAACAATAATAAAACGGAGCAGATTACCCCCTCAAAAAAGTTAATTAAATCGCGTATCAGCTACCTGTATCGCCTCGAAATTACGACGCCGTTGCGAAGCGGAGCGCCGAGAGGCGACGCCGACGCGCATCTGGACGTCCGCCGGCGGCGGCAGCGGCGGCGGCGGCGTTCTTCATTGGTCGAGCGACCGCCGCACCGTCGAGCGCATTCGAGACGTCGTGACGAAGAGCGGCTCCGTTGTCAGTTACTCGCGAGCGTCGGTCCGCAACGGCAGTGCGACTTTGGCGATCATCCGTACGGAAACGTGCTCGTTCACTCTGCGATCATTTCACTATTCGATAGCTTTCGGTTTTCCGGGTTGTGAGAGGGCC